AAACCAGAATTCGTGGTGAAATCACGCGCCGCACTTCTCCAATGCTGCATCGAAAACAACAGACCAGCATGGACCAGACGGAACGAGCAGCATTTCCAAGCGTCGTTGCAACCGCCACAAACCGCCGTGCTTTGGCCGTGCGCTTGTGACCCACAGCGATCGCGTTCGTGCATTTCCAAATTGTCTACTGCAGGCACACATACCCCTGAAGGCCCCTGAAAAAAATTGTTTTTTGAGATGAATACACCAGCCAGTAAAGAGGTTACATGTATATAGGTTGCTCTGCTTATATCGGGCATACCCCAGCTACCCAATGCATACCTCGATCAAAATCTTGGCAATGAAAGCTCCACTCAAGGCACTCAAGTTATTTACACTTGGAAATATGCACAATGGAGTTGTGTACGCCGGACAGTATGAATAGCCCCACAATATTTGATTAGAGTGCAGCTCACACTCGACGTGTTTCCGGTCTATGGACCAACGTCCAGACTCCTGACCAACAGTAGCACTTCAAAGTGGCAAGGTGAACAGTCCACTCTACATACCGTACCACATATCACTTAATTGCTGTTAATGGGCTGATGACAAACTACCCCCATGACCCACATTAGCATTGCATGTAATCCACATAAGCCCCGATCGCTGCAAGAAACTCCCGGGCAGCAGCACTCCTGGCTGTTTTTTTGGCAGCCCCGCATCCAACAAACTGTACAATCTGCCCGTCAATACGGACAGAAAGGACGGAGGTGTGCTGCAAAGAGCTGCCAAAAGAGTAGCTATCGGTCCATGACACTTGGGAACACATTGCCACAGCCAACTCGTTTAGTGCTTGTAGCGAGACGCCCTTGGAGTGGGCATCTGGTGCAAGAATCCGTGTCCAGCTGTAGCAATTGATACCTGGAGAGCAGTTGTACACAGAATGGGGAGACGGGAACTGGGATTCATACAACTGCCTAACACGCTTAAGAGGAAACACGAAAAGTGCGTGCAGGAGCGAGGACAATTTAGTCTGACTTCTAAAGTGCCAACCAACCTTGATTATCTTTATAGATATGACAGCCATGATCGGCATGATAGGCATGATAGGCATGATAGGTATGGTAGGCATGATAGGTATCGTAGGCATGAAAGGTATGGTAGGCATGATAGCATTCGAATACGCACCGGTTGCTGTGACAAGCCTTCTAAGTGTTGCTTGTGTGGCTGCCTGTCGAACTGGCAGGGCTTGAGGACGGGCTGCTGCTTCTGGTGATGCTGCTGATGCTGCTGCTGATGCTGCTGCTGCTGCTGCTGGTGCTTGTGCTGCTAATGCTGCTGCTGCTGGTGGTACTGCTGGTGCTTGTGCTGCTGCTCGTGCTTGTGCTGCTAATACTGCTGCTGCTGGTGGTACTGCTGGTGCTTGTGCTGCTGCTCGTGCTTGTGCTGCTAATACTGCTGCTGCTGCTGGTACTGCTTGTGCTTGTGAAGCTGCTTGTGCTTGTGCTGCTGCTTGTGCTTGTGCTGCTGCTTGTGCTTGTGCTGCTAATACTGCTGCTGCTGGTGCTACTGCTCGTGCTTGTGCTGCTGGTACTGCTACTGGCACTCGGGCTGCTGCTGGTGATGCTCGTGGTGCTGCTGGTTGAGTGATGCTGGTGGACAGGGCTTGAGGACGGGATGCCAATGGTGCTGATGCCGCTGGTAGCACTTGTGCTGACTGTGATGCTGGCGCTCGTGCTAGTGCTGCTGCTGGTGATGCTGCTGCTGCTGCTGCTGCTGCTGCTGCTGCTGGTGGTAATGCTGCTGGTGCTGCTGCTGCTGCTACTGGTAGTGATGGTGATATGCCCTCTCTCCTCTGATCCCCCCACATGTCATCTACTCTCACACTCAGTCTCTCCCTCTTCTCCCGAACCTGCTCCTCCCGAGCCACACCATCACCTGCCAAGCCTGGCCGCATCAAGCCTGCACACCTGAGCTGTGCAAATTCCAAGCCTGGGGTTCCCGAACCTCCAGCAGTAACGGGACCAGCAGATTTAACAGGGGAATTTGAAGGGCAGATTGACGTGGGATTGTAGGGGGAGGGAGGGTGCGGGGTGGAATGGGAGAGAGGAGGGGTGGGTGGGTCAAAGCGAGCAGCACTTGACACCACCGTCCATTTTTGTTGCTGTTGCTGTTGCGAGGGCTCCTGCTGCTGCCACTCACACTGCTGTTGCTGTTGTAGTATCACTGCTGATCTCTGAGCTGCTGCTGCTGCTGCTGTTGCTGCTGCCACTGTGTGCATCTGCACTGCTGCAGCACGGGGCAGGGCTACTGTGTGCAAACGACTTGCCGCCTGCACCTGTGCTGGTGCAGCTGTTGCCTGTGCTGCCGCTGTGTGCACCTGCACTGCTGCTGGCCGGGGCTGTGCTGCCACTGTGTGCATCTGCACTGCCGCAGCACGGGGCAGTGCTACTGTATGCAAACGATTTGCTGCTTGCACCTCTGCTGGTGCAGTTGCTGCCTGTGCTGCCGCTGCCCGTGCTGCGGCTTGCGCTTGCACGGTTACTTCCCGAGCCTGTGCTGTTTGCACCTGTGCTGGTGCAGTTGCTGCCTGTGGTGCCGCTGCCCATGCTGCAGCTTGCGCTTGTGCTGATACTGCTCGCAGCTGTGCCGCTTGCACCTGTGCTGGTGCAGTTGCTGCCTGTGCTGGTGTAGCTGCTGCCTGTGGTGCTGCTGCCCGTGCTGCGGCTTGCACTTGCACTGTTACTGCCCGAACCTGTGCTGCTTGAACCTGTGCAGGTGCAGCTGCTGCTTGTGATGGTGCAGCTGCAGCCTGTGGTGCCACTGCTGCTGCCCGTGCTGCGGCTTGAGCTTGCATTGTTACTGCCCGAACCTGTGCTGCTTGCACCTGTGCTGCCTGTGGTGCCACTGCTGCTGCCCTTGCTGGTTTCGCTGATGCTGCACCTGGTGCTGGTGCAGTAGTTGCCACTGCCGCTGCTGCGGCTGTGACTGGTGGTGTTGTTGCTGCTGCGCCCTGCTTCTTCTGTGATGCCGCAAATCGCTGTTCACCTTGCTGCACCTGTTGCTGTTGCTGCTGCTGCCGCACCCCATGCTCCTGGCGCTGTTGCTGCTGCTGCTCCTGTTGCTTTGGCTGTAGTGAAACTGCTTGCCCCTGCCCCTTCAAAACCTTCTTCTTTTTTGACGTCTGCTTGCTCTGCGTCTTCCGCTGCTGCCTAATCTTCTCAGGATTCAACGTGCCATTTTCCTGCACGGCACAGCAGAAGGAGTCACACGTAAAAACAGATCCAACCAATCATTCATACAGAATCCAAATCGGCCAAATTCAGTAACAGACTTCTACTAGCAACCACGACTCACCAGCAGTCGCTTTATCTCTTCATGTGCCAGCTCAGCAGCAGCCTTCCTAACCATGCTCTTGTGCTTGCTTTGACTCCTGTTGACTCTCAAACCAAGGACCAAAATTGATGGCTTATACTCATCCTCACTACTCAACATCAGCGTCTTGATTTCATCAAGTGCCAGCTCAGCAGCAGCCTTTCTAGCCATGGTTTTGTGCTGTCTCACTGCTACTGCCACCTCCCTCCCTCCCACCACAGCCTTACACCTCCACCACTCCATTTCCCTCTTCCTCCTCCACCCCTCTTCCTCCTCCTCCACCCACTCCTCATCTCCCCCCTCTCCTCCCCCTTCTCCCTCCCCATTCCCTTTTTCCCCCTCTCCCTCTTCCCTCCTCTTTCCTCCCCATCCCACATCTCCCTCTTTCTTTTCCCCTGCTGCCCCAGGTTTCCGACATTTCTCAACCACCAGCTTTCCACCCTGCCCCAGTTTCCCGGTCAGCTCAAAAAGAGCGAGGTGGGCGGGCGGGTAACAACAGAGGCAGCAGTGACACGGGTAGGGAAGAACCGGGAAAAGAGTGCCCACACCCTCTCCGTGTCAAACCCACAGTCGACGAGCGTTGCCCCCACCAGGGACTCGAGCACGTCTCCTATTGCCTGAGGGAGGGATAGCAGGGGGGAAGAAGGAAGAAAACAGAGAAAAGAATCAGCAAAGGGCAGAGGCAGCAGTGACACGGGTGGGGAAGAACCGGGAAAAGAGTGCCCACACCCTCTCCGTGTCAAACCCACAGTCGACCAGCGTTGCCCCCACCAGTGACTCTAGCACGTCTCCTATTGCCTGAGTGAGGGATAGCAGGGGGGAAGAAGGAAGAAAACAGAGAAGGGAATCAGCAAAGGGAAAAAGAGAAGGGAATCAGCAGTGACACGGGTGGGGAAGAATCGGGAAAAGAGGCCCCACACCCTCTCGGTGTCAAACCCACAGTTCACTAGAGTTGCACCGGAAAGAATGCACTTCCCTAGCCACCCACCTTAGGCGCCTGCACTCCACCCTCCCCAAAGTATCCATCCAGCTTCTCCCTCTTCCCCTCCTCTCCCCCCTCGTCTTCCCCCTCTTGTCCATCTCGCTCCGCCTCCTTCCTCTCCTTCCCCTGCCCCCTCGCACCTCCCCCTTCTTCCAACTCCCCGTCGCCCATTGCACTGTCAGCAAATCCCTTGTGAGAGACTTCCACGCTGGTGGTCCCCCCTCGATTTACAACCCCAACTCCTATCACACTTGCAGGCACCCCCATACTTCCACACCCTCCCACCCTTGTATCCCCACCACCCCCAGTGCCTCCCATTCCCCCTTCTGCTTCTGCTGCTCTCTTTCCCTTCTGCTTCTCTCCTTCCCCAACCTCTTTCCTCCACTTCCTCCTCTCCCTCTCCCTCCTCTCCCGCTCCCTCCTCTCCTCTCTGTCTCTCACAAACGCTGCAATCTCCCCACCCAGGTGGACCGAGAAATGCCTGATGTGGCGGTGTAGTGCCAATCCGGAGCCCCCTGCTGACGTGGCAGCAGCAGAGGAAACAGCTGATGTGGCGATGCGGGAGAGGTTCTCATTGTTGACGAGCGCGGCACGGCGGAAGGTGAGCTGACGTGGCGTCTGGTGCGGGTGCTGCAGGTGCAGCTGACGTGTCACAAAGTAATCGATGAATGCGTCACCCAGAAATTCCAACCTCTGCGGTGTTCAGGTGAAGTGTTGAAACGAGGGAACGGAAAAAAAAAAAAAAAAAAAAAAAAGAGAGAGAGAGAGAGAGAGAGAGAGAGAGAGAGAGAGAGAGAGAGAGAGAGAGAGAGAGAGAGAGAGAGAGGGGGGGTTGGGGGGGGATGTATGGGTGGGCTACAAACAAAAGCAGTTGACATACGCATCGCCTGGGAACAACAATCCTTAAAGCATGGAGGGCTTGAAGCGAAGGAACCTAAAACAACTCACGTTTTAGCACAACTCTATCTCCCTCACTCCTTCCACCAGCAATGTAACTTCCTTTTTACTACAACACCAGCAATAGTTATAAGCCAGGGACCAAGGCGCGCCCCCGGACCAAGGCGCGCCCCCGGACCAAGGCGCGCCCCCGGACCAAGGCGCGCCCCCGGACCAAGGCGCGCCCCCGGACCAAGGCGCGCCCCCCAGACCAAGGCGAGCCCCCCGGACCAAGGCGCGCCCCCGGACCAAGGCGCGCCCCCGGACCAAGGCGCGCCCCCGGACCAAGGCGCGCCCCCGGACCAAGGCGCGCCCCCGGACCAAGGCGCGCCCCCGGACCAAGGCGCGCCCCCGGACCAAGGCGCGCCCCCGGACCAAGGCGCGCCCCCGGACCAAGGCGCGCCCCCGGACCAAGGCGCGCCCCCGGACCAAGGCGCGCCCCCAGGCCAAGGCGCGCCCCCGGGCCAAGGCGCGCCGCCGGGCCAAGGCGCGCCCCCGGGCCAAGGCGCGCCCCCGGACCAAGGCGCGCCCCCGGACCAAGGCGCGCCCCCGGACCAAGGCGCGCCCCCGGACCAAGGCGCGCCCCCGGACCAAGGCGCGCCCCCGGACCAAGGCGCGCCCCCGGACCAAGGCGCGCCCCCGGACCAAGGCGCGCCCCCGGACCAAGGCGCGCCCCCGGACCAAGGCGCGCCCCCGGACCAAGGCGCGCCCCCGGACCAAGGCGCGCCCCCGGACCAAGGCGCGCCCCCGGACCAAGGCGCGCCCCCGGACCAAGGCGCGCCCCCGGACCAAGGCGCGCCCCCGGACCAAGGCGCGCCCCCGGACCAAGGCGCGCCCCCGGACCAAGGCGCGCCCCCGGACCAAGGCGCGCCCCCGGACCAAGGCGCGCCCCCGGACCAAGGCGCGCCCCCGGACCAAGGCGCGCCCCCGGACCAAGGCGCGCCCCCGGACCAAGGCGCGCCCCCGGACCAAGGCGCGCCCCCGGACCAAGGCGCGCCCCCGGACCAAGGCGCGCCCCCGGACCAAGGCGCGCCCCCGGACCAAGGCGCGCCCCCGGACCAAGGCGCGCCCCCGGACCAAGGCGCGCCCCCGGACCAAGGCGCGCCCCCGGACCAAGGCGCGCCCCCGGACCAAGGCGCGCCCCCGGACCAAGGCGCGCCCCCGGACCAAGGCGCGCCCCCGGACCAAGGCGCGCCCCCGGACCAAGGCGCGCCCCCGGACCAAGGCGCGCCCCCGGACCAAGGCGCGCCCCCGGACCAAGGCGCGCCCCCGGACCAAGGCGCGCCCCCGGACCAAGGCGCGCCCCCGGACCAAGGCGCGCCCCCGGACCAAGGCGCGCCCCCGGACCAAGGCGCGCCCCCGGACCAAGGCGCGCCCCCGGACCAAGGCGCGCCCCCGGACCAAGGCGCGCCCGGGGCGCGCTCCCGGACCCAGGCGCGCCCCGGACCAAGGCGCGCCCCCGGACCAAGGCGCGCCCCCGGACCAAGGCGCGCCCCCGGACCAAGGCGCGCCCCCGGACCAAGGCGCGCCCCCGGACCAAGGCGCGCCCCCGGACCAAGGCGCGCCCCCGGACCAAGGCGCGCCCCCGGACCAAGGCGCGCCCCCGGACCAAGGCGCCCCACACGGACCAAGGCGCGCCCCCCGGACCAAGGCGCGCCCCCGGACCAAGGCGCGCCCCCGGACCAAGGCGCGCCCCCGGACCAAGGCGCGCCCCCGGACCAAGGCGCGCCCCCGGACCAAGGCGCGCCCCCGGACCAAGGCGCGCCCCCGGACCAAGGCGCGCCCCCGGACCAAGGCGCGCCCCCGGACCAAGGCGCCCCACACGGACCAAGGCGCGCCCCCCGGACCAAGGCGCGCCCCCGGACCAAGGCGCGCCCCCGGACCAAGGCGCGCCCCCGGACCAAGGCGCGCCCCCGGACCAAGGCGCGCCCCCGGACCAAGGCGCGCCCCCGGACCAAGGCGCGCCCCCGGACCAAGGCGCGCCCCCGGACCAAGGCGCGCCCCCGGACCAAGGCGCGCCCCCGGACCAAGGCGCGCCCCCGGACCAAGGCGCGCCCCCGGACCAAGGCGCGCCCCCGGACCAAGGCGCGCCCCCGGACCAAGGCGCGCCCCCGGACCAAGGCGCGCCCCCGGACCAAGGCGCGCCCCCGGACCAAGGCGCGCCCCCGGACCAAGGCGCGCCCCCGGACCAAGGCGCGCCCCCGGACCAAGGCGCGCCCCCGGACCAAGGCGCGCCCCCGGACCAAGGCGCGCCCCCGGACCAAGGCGCGCCCCCGGACCAAGGCGCGCCCCCGGACCAAGGCGCGCCCCCGGACCAAGGCGCGCCCCCGGACCAAGGCGCGCCCCCGGACCAAGGCGCGCCCCCGGACCAAGGCGCGCCCCCGGACCAAGGCGCGCCCCCTGAGTAGACCACTTATTGTAAGGCGCCTCAAAAATATGAGGCGCCTCAACACTTCCCACCAGCAAAGTATATTCCATTTTACTATACAACACCAGCAAAAGTCAACAGCAACACCAGCAACAGTCAACAGCAATACCAGCCAGGTAAGTAGACCACTAAATTTTGGTCAGCAAACGTTGACAAGTGCATGCCAGGTATGTGTCATTTGACTTTCCTCAATCCTCAGAAACTCACCTGGTAACACGTCACCACGTCGTTTGATGCCCAGTTGACGAAGCTAGGGTGAGTCAGGGCCTCCAGCACCAACCTCTTGTCTTTGAACTCATACCCCAGTGCCTCCTCTACCTCCCTCACTGCTATCAGGCTCTTTGACACGTCTTGACGCTCACCTTTCTGAGACGCCTTGAAGCTCACTTGGTAACACGTGACGACTTCGTCTGACGCCCAGTTGACGAAGCTAGGGTGAGTCAGGGCCTCCAGCACCAACCTCTTGTCTTTGAACTCATACCCCAGTGCCTCCTCTACCTCCCTCACTGCTATCAGGCTCTTTGACACGTCTTGACGCTCACCTTTCTGAGACGCCTTGAAGCTCACTTGGTAACACGTGACGACTTCGTCTGACGCCCAGTTGACGAAGCTAGGGTGAGTCAGGGCCTCCAGCAACAACCGCTTGTCTTTGAATTCATACCCCAGTGCCTCTACTATGTCCCTCACTCCTATCAGCCTCTTTGTGCCTCACCTTTCTGAGACGCCTGAACGCTCACCTGGTAACACGTGACGACTTCGTCTGACGCCCAGTTGACGAATCTGGGGTGGGTCAGGGCTTCCAGCACCAGCCTCTTGTCTTTGAACTCGTACCCCAGTGCCCTCTGTTATGTATCTCCCTAACTTCGTCACCCTCACAGGCCTTCTTGTCATGACTCACAGCTCACCTGGTAACATGTGACGACTTCGTCAGACGCCCAGTTGACGAAGCTGGGGTGGGTCAGGGCTTCCAGGACCAGTCGCTTGTCTTTGAACTCGTACCCCAGTGCCTCCTCTATCTCCCTCACTCCCGCCAACCCCTTATCATTTCCTCCGTCCTCTCCTCCCTCCTCCCCTCCCTCATCTCCTTCCTCCTCCCCTCCCTCCTTTTCTCCCCTCATCCTTCCTTCCTCTCCTTCCTTCCCCCCATCTTCTTCCAACATCACCTCATCTGTATTAGACCCCCTCGCTCCTATGGCATCAACAGTTTTCTCCCCATTCCCACCCACACACACCTCTCTCCCATTTCCTTCCACAATCCCACTCTTCCTTCTATCCACCCCTCCACACACCTCTCCAGTCTCTCTCCCATCCTCTCTTGGACCCCCATCTGCCTCTTCAAACCCAGACAGCCCCACGGGAAGGCCCAACCACCCCATGACACATGTAGCAGCAGCAGCCCCACACGTGTCCCACACACACCCCACCAGAGCCTCGACCAAATCAGCTAAAGCCTTCCCAGACACCCGCACAGGAGGGGGGGATACTGCCACCACAGGAGGAGGCAGGTTCGGTCCTTTCTTGTGGTTTCTTCCTCCCATCCCGCTGCTTCCACCGCTCTCAACACCTTCTCCTTCAACGATGCAGACGTTCTCAGTTTCAATACCACTGCTTCTGATGGATTCTCCCCTCTCCCTTTCTCCCTCTCCCTCTTCTCCCTCTCCCTCTCCCTCTTCTTCCTCTTCCTCCTCTTCCTCCTCTTCCTCCTCTTCCTCCTCCTCATCTGCTTCTACCTCCCCCTCCACTTCCTCTCTTTCCTCTTCCTCGCTCCCCTCCTCTGTATCCTCTTCTTCCTCCATTTCAGCATCTTCGTCTCCCTCCCCCATCTCCTCTTCCTCCGTCTCCTCCTCCTCGTCCTCCTCCCCCTCCTCCTCTTCCCCCTCCTCTTCTTCGTCCTCTTCCTCCTCCCCCTCCTCCTCTTCCTCCTCACCCTCCTCGTCTTCCTCCCCTTCCCCACCATCATTACCCTCTTCGTCTCCCACCTCCCCCTCCGCCTCCCCATCTGTTCCATTCCTCCCTTCACCCCCCTTCTCCGCACCTTTTCTTGCCTCTTGCTCCCGCTCAGTCACCACACACTGCTTCTTCTTCTTCTTTCTCCTCTTGTCCAATGCCTGCTGCTGCTCCTTCCCTTGAGTCCGCCGCTCCCTCATCTCCTGCTTCAGCTGTGCATGCCCACAAGGGTAGTCACAAGGGGCAACGCCAGGCACGCGCCACTTCCCTGCTGTGAATATCCCCGTTCGCAGATACTCCTGCAGAACAGGCAGTGAGAGTTGGATAGAGGGAAAGCAGTGCAAGCAATATGAGGTGCTGCATCCCTTCATCTGCTGCCTCAATCGCCGCTTTCTCATTTGCTGCTTCAGCTGCGCATGCCCGCACGGGTAGTCATGAGGGGGAACATCCGGCACATGCCACTTCCCTGCTGTGAAAATCCCCGTTCGCAGATACTCCTGAGGGAGGGACAGTGAGATAAAGGGAAACCAGAACATTATGAGATGAGTTCGCCATGCCCTCATTTGCTGCATCAGCTGCGCATGCCCACATGGATAGTCATGAGGGGCAACGCCAGGCACGCACCACTTCCCTGCTGTGAATATCCCCGTTCGCAGATACTCCTGAGGAGAGGAGGAGAGAGACGGACACAAAGGCGAGAAGCGAACATAGGTAGTGGTGATTGGAAACGGGAAGCTGGAAGCAGCAAGGGGCAACGCCTGGCACATGCCACTTCCCTGCTGTGAATATCCCGTTGCGCAGATACTCCTGACGAGAGACATTGGGGATACAGCAAGAGAAGTGCATTGCGGTGGCAAGGTTGGGGGCAGAGGGGCAACAACCGGAACGTGCCACTTCCCTGCTGTGAACATCCCCGTTTGCAGATATTCCTGAAGAGAGGCATTTGGAAGGGGGGGCAAGGTTGGGGGGCAGAGGGGCGATACTCGGCACATGCCACTCCCCCGCTGTAAAGATCCCGGTTTGCAGATACTTCTGAGGAAGGAAGGACAGAGACGAGGTGACAGAGAGGGAGACGAGTGTGTAAGGGGATGATGGGCACTAGGCACAGCACGTGCCAATACCTGGTGCATGCAATGAATGGAAGTTCTTTCTAAGCGCTCACTAATATCCACCAGATCACAACTCCAATGCAGCCTCACCTCCCTCGCAGTCAAAAGCAGTGCCTCATTGCTGATCTCATTGGTGCGCCGCTGCAATGAGTGCGCACGCCCTCGTGCACATGCACGCATCCCTTCTTCGAATTACTGATCCCACCAATTCCACTCTCAACTCACATGCAGCTTCATCTCCTTGGCAGTCGAAAGCAGCGCCTCATTACTGATCGCATCAGTGCGCCGCTGAGTCAGCACGCCCTCGTGCGCGCCGGGCAGCTCGCGAAAAAGATGCGAGCTGACCGCCGCCTTGAGGAAGCAGTCCCCCAGCAGCTCGTCCCTCTCGTATGAGAATCCCTCGCCAGTTGAATAGGCCGTTATGGCGTGTAAGAGCTGGGGGGTTGGGAGAGGTGAGAGAAAGAGAGAGGTGGAGCAGGGGAGAGTGAGTGGAGCAGATGTGAGCTGACCGCCGCCTTGAGGAAGCAGTCCCCCAGCAGCTCGTCCCTCTCGTAGGAAAAGCCCTCGCCAGTTGAGTAGGCCGTTATGGCATGCAGAAGCTGGGGGAAAGGGAAAGGTGAGCAGGAGAGAGTGAATGAGAGTGAATGAGACAAGATGTGAGCTGAACCCTGCCTTGAGAAAGCAGTCCTTCAGCAGCTTGTTCCTTTCGTAGGAAAAGCCATCACCCGTGCATTATGCTGATATGGAGTGCAGGAGCTAAGAGGGGTTTTGGACAAGGAGAGGGAAGAAGAGGGAAAATGAACACAATGAATCAGCCAAGCAGTCCCCCAGCAGCTCGTCCCTCTCGTAGGAGAGGCCCTCTCCTGTTGAGTATGCCGTTATGGCGTGCAAAAGCTGGAAAGAGGTGAAGGAAGGAGGCCGGGTTGAACATAGTAGATCAGCCAAGCAGTCCCCCAGTAGCACGTCCCTCTCGTGGGAGGGGCCCGCTCCTGTTGAGTATGCTGTTATCGCGTGTAGGAGCTGCAGAGGAGCGAGAAGAGAGGGTTTGGAAAGGTGAGATGAACACAATGAATCAGCCTGTGGAGTAGGATGTTAAGGCGTGCAGGAGCTGATTCATTGTGCTCATCTCACCACCAGGAGAAACCCTGCACGCCATAACGGCCTACTCCACGGGCGAGGGTTTTTCTTACGAGAGGACAACCTTCCAGCAGCTCGCCCCTCTCGTAGGAGAAACCCTCGCCCGTGGAGTAGGCTGTTACGGCGTGCAGGAGCTGCCAGGCTGTTAATGAGGACAGCAAACCCATTCATCAGTGAAACCCCAGTCACACTCCCTCTACATCATATTCTTGGAAAGAATCCCTTCCAACTGAGCCTCTCGTCCCAAGCTGTCCCTCAGCTCCCCTGCCAGCAGCAGCCCGTGCAGGCGGTGCAGCACAGAGGGCAGCAGCAAGAGAACCACCAGTCACATTTCCCCTAAGCCACACTCACCCTAGCCACAGGTAGGTTCGAGAGCACCCCTTCCATGTGAGCTTCCCGGCCTATCCTGTCCCTCAGCTCCCCTGCCAGCAGCAGCCCGTGCAGGCGGTGCAGCACAGAGGGCAGCAGTGCAGGCCGCAGCAGCGTGGGCAGCAGGACCAGTCACACTAAATCCACATTACACTCACCTTAGTGACTGGAAGGTTTGAGAGCATCCCTTCCATGTGAGCCTCCCGGCCCATCCTGTCCCTCAACTCCGCTGCTAGCAGCAGCCCTTGCAGGCAGTGCAGCAACAGAGGGCAGCAGCGAGGGCAGCAGAGCGGGAACCACCGGACACAGCCCCTCTGAACCACACTCGCCTAACACTCACCCTAGCCACAGGAAGCTTGGAGAGCATCCCTTCCATCTGAGCCTCCCGGCCTATCCTGTCCCTCAACTCCCCTGCCAGCCGTACCCATACAGACAGTGCAGCACAGAGGGCAGCAGGACTGGAACCCTCCTTCACAGTCCCTTCAAGCCACACTCACCCTAGTGACTGGAAGGTTCGAGAGCACCCCTTCCATGTGAGCCTCCCGGCCTATCCTGTCCCTCAACTCCCCTGCCAGCAGCAGCCCTTGCAGGCGGTGCAGCACAGAGGGCAGCAGTGAGGCGGCCTGGTAGAGAGGGAAGGACATGAGTGGATGGAGCAGCTCGGGGGGGAGCAGCACGGCGAACGGGCGCGAGGAGGAGGGGGAGGCGGAGGAGAGTGTGGTCTTGGAGGCTGCAGGAGTGAATGGAGAAAGTGGGGGGAGGGGTTGGGAGAGGGGAGGGGAACAGGAGGACGAGTAGGGTGAGTACAAGATGTAGATGTAGCGATGGAGCTGCACAGAGGGAAGCAGTGAGGCGGCCTGGTAGAGAGGGAAGGACATGAGCGGATGGAGCAGCTCGGGGGGAAGCAACACGGAGAACGGGCACGAGGAGGAGGAAGGGGATGTGGTCTAGGACACTGCTGGAGAGAGTGGGAAGAGAGAGGTTCAAAGAGGAGACGGGAAAACAGGTAAGGGTATTTAAAATGGAAAAAAGATGTAGTGAAGGAGCAGCACAGGGAGCAACATAGCGAGCAGCACGGAGGGAAACACGGACGGCAGCACATGAGGGCAGCAGCGAGGCGGCCTGGTAGAGAGGGAAGGACATGAGCGGATGGAGCAGCTAAGAAGACGACCTCAATTTTGCCCACAGCCTCACCTTTAGGCATGTCGTTTGGCGAGGGGGGCTTGAGGCAAGCCTTGGCAGAGGGCAGCGAGCGCATGAGCAGCAGAGGCAGGTGGGGGCACACCAGTCGCACACCGTGCCTGATAGGGGACAGGGTTTTACAATATAGAAGGTTATGGTTTTAAGTTCACACCAGCTACATAATGAGCTTGCATGAGCAGCAGAGGCAGGTGGGGACACACCAGTCGCACACCGTGCCTGGTAGGGGACAGGGTTTTGATACAGAATGTTCAGGGTTCATCATTTTAAAGTTGCATTCCGCACACACACGCACCCACACACATCCCCACACATACGCCCACACCACACACACACACTCACACACTCGCACAGCCTACCTCTCTCTGAAATATTCCTCAAATGTGGCATAGCCTTTATTGGGGAAGGGACTCAGAGCCGTCAACACACCCTCTCCTCCACCTTCCTTCTCCGCCTCCCCACCATTCACCTCTTTCCGCTCCCCATCCTCCTCCTCTGCCTCACCATCACCATTCACCACCTCTGCCCGTCCACTCTTCCCATTAACGTCAGCTTGCTCATCCATCCCTCTCTCCATCAACCCTGTCTCCCCATGCTCCACCTCCCCCATTACCACCTTCCCCCGGCCAGCCTTCCCCCCATCTGCCTCCCGCCTCCCAGCCTCCCCTCGCCCCGCCTCCCCCTTCCCAGCCTCCCCCCGAGAGACGCGGTACAGCCACCCAGTGTGCCTGGCGACCACCACACACCCTCTCATGCGCTCCACAGCTGCCAATTGCTCCTCTAGACTTAGCCTCTGCATGTGTCCCCCCAGCACTCTCAGCCCCTGCTGCTGCTGCCCCTGCTGCTGCTGCTCACAGTGCAACCCACCACCCCCCTGATCTTCTGTAGCTTCTTTGCCTCCTCCCCCGTTCTTGTCCTGCTTTTCTCCTTGCCTGTTCCTTTGCTCTCCTCGTCCCCCTTGTTCTTCGGTTCTTCTTTGTGCTTGCCTCGACTCCTCTCCCTTCTCCCCCTCCTCCCGATCTCTCCTCTCCTCGTTCGTCCTTTCCTCTAGCACCTCCTCTTCCTCTTCCCCTTCCTCCCCCATTCCCTTCTCTCCCATTCTCTTCCCCCCCACCCTCTTCTCCTCCTCTATCCTCGTCGCCTGCCCCATCGCCTCACCCCTCTCGGTAGCATCTACCAGCCACAAGGAAGCATCAGCAACAGACATGACAACAGCCCAGTCAATCACCGCACACGACACCTCCTTCCACACCTGCCCTTCACCCCTTCCTCTTCCCTCTACCTTGATCTCCTCCTCCCCTTCTTCCACTCGTCCAGACACATCCATATCCGACTCTTCCTCTCCCTCTTCTCCAATCAAGCCCACCGAAACTTTCCGGTTCCTACCCTTCTCTACCCCTCTGCACTGCATTCCACCGGCCTCCACCTTACTCCCACTCGGCCTCACTCCCCACAGCTTCCTCTTCTTTCCCTCAGGCCCAGCACAGTCTGCTTCACTAAAGTCTGTGTCGTTGCAAACAGCAGCACTGGTATCAGCACCAGCAGCAGCACCAGCAGAGGCGGCCATGGCAACAGCAGTCGCACTAGCAGTCCCAGCAGCAGCAGCAGCTGCAGCTGCAGCCATTCCAGCAGTATCAGCAGCAGCACCACCAGAGGCAGCAGCAGCACCAGCAGCACCAGCAGCAGCAGCCGCAGCAGCAGCAGCCGCAGCGGCCATACCTGCAGCAGCAGCAGCACCCTGGCAGGGACTGCCAATGGACAACGGTTGAGCCACAGGAGCAATTATATAGTGCAACGGGCCGCTCCAAAAGGGGGATGGCTGGTACTGGCTTGTAGAGGGGCCTTGGGGTTGTAGCGCACTGGCAGTGGGTGCAGCTTGGCAGCAGCGGCGGAAGCGGCGCAGGAGAGTGGCGAAGAGGTGTGCGTGGAAGGACATGAGGAGACGAGCCTGCAAGGAAAACAGGCGTGGAGGGAGAAAAGAAGCCATTGACATTTCATGCGGGTTGGCGGCAGCGGCGCAGGAGATTGGCGAAGAGGTGTGCGTGGAAGGACATGAGGAGACGAGCCTGGAGAGAAGAAACACACGTGGTTAGGGAAAATAAAGTAAGTGTTGAGGGGGGGGGGGGGGTTGGCAAAGGCGTGTTACACGTGTTCGAAAACAAGGCAATAAAACACGGCGAGATGAAACAAGGTGTGAGGAGAGACGAACATGGACGTGGAAAGACATGAGGAGACGAGCCTGCGAGGTGAGCATACCATCTGGTATCGAAAGCAAATCCCATACCTGACTGGCAGAGAGCACAGCACGACCCATGGGGGCCAGGCTGGCTGCACTGTCGCATGGCCCACTCCCTTGGTGACAGGGGCATACGATCATGAAATATTACGACAAACAGGTCCCGTTCCTGATCGGCAGGTTCGTACCTGACTGGCAGAGAGCACCACACGACCCATGGGCGCCAGCTGTACTGTAGCATGCCCCACTCCCTTGGTGACAGGGGCATACAATCATATACTATTATGACAAGAAGGTCCCTCACCTGGCTGGCAGGTCCGTACCTGACTGGCAGTGAGCACCACACGACCCATGGGCGCCAGGCTAGCTGCACTGTCGCATGGCCCACTCCCTTGCAAACTGGAGCATACAATCATGAACTACTACGACAAACAGGTCCCGTTCCTGACCAGCAGGTCCATACCTGACTGGCGGGGAGCATCACACGACCCATGGGAGCCAGCTGGACTGTAGCATGACCTACTCTCTTGCAAACTGGAGTGCAAACTGGAGCATACAATCATGAACTATTACGACAAACAGGTCCCGTTCCTGACCGGCAGGTTCATACCTGACTGGCAGAGAGCACCACACGACCCATTGGGGCCAGCTGCACTGTAGCATGGCCCACTCCCTTTGGGAACAGTCCGAACATCGCCACCCCACACTCGGGACCTAGTTCCCCAGTGCATAAGAGGAGAAACTGGAAGGCCTCTCGTGGCGTGTCAATGTTTGCTGCAGATTCCTCCTCTTCCTCCTCAGCTGCCCCTCTGCTTCCCTCACGCTCCTTACAGTCACGTTCACGGCCGTCCTCCTTACTGTCACTCCCTCTAGCGTCCTCGCATTCACGCTTTCTTCCATCTCCATCTGCCTTCCTGCCCATGCCAATGCCCACACGATACACAAAATACGCCCGCCTTCCCCCCTCCTCCTCCACCTCCTCACCCCCGTCCCCTCGCTGCTCCCCCTCACCCGGCCCCTCACATGGGAGGCGCAGGGCAGAGGGGATCCGCTGGTGCACGTGCATGGCCACCCGGCGTGCTGACGAGGAGGGGACATGGGGATGTGGGGGATGATGGGGGGAGACAGCAGGGAGATGGCACGGAGATGGTGATTGGAGAGGCGCAGGGCAGAGGTGACTCGCTGGTGCATGTGCATGGCCACCCGGCACGCTGACAGCGGGGAGAGAATGGGGATAGGGGGGATGATGGGGGACAGATGGGAAGGGGGGATGGTGGGTTGGTGTAGTGAGTGGGGAGGCGCAGGGAAGAGTGCATTTGCTGTTGCACGTGCATGGGATGTGGCGACACCTTATATGAGAATTCTCAGAAAGGACATCTCCCTTATGAGAAAGCAACGGTGGCAAAAACTAGTTCCTCCTCTTCGACTTCACTACAATACATGCCATGCCCCCATCCACCTCTCCCAAAAATCATCCACCCCCTTTTCCCCCATACCATGGCTACACCTCACTCCCATGCAATTGACTCCACCCCACCTCTCTCAGGAGCCACAGCGGCACCAAACTTGCTCCGCCTCTTCTCCAATACCCACAAACCCACCCACCTCTGTCTGCCAAGACCCCCCACCCACCTCGCTCACCTACCCCGCCCCACCTCTCTCACCTCCCCCCACCCTACCCCCCTCAGGAGCCACAGTAGCACCAAACCTGCTCTGCCTCATCCTCAATTCACACCACAATCCCACCCACCCCTTTCACATGCCATGCATACCCCCAATCCACCTCTGTCAACTCCCCCCACCCCACCTCACCTCTTTCAGGCGCCACAGTAGCAATGAACTTGCTCCGCCTCTTCTTTAATACCTTAAAACCCTCCCACCTCTGCCATATGCCAAGCCCCCCCCACCTCTCTCACCTCCCCCACCCCACCTCTTTCAGGCGCCACAGTAGCACCGAACTTGCTCCGCTTCTTCTTCCCCCACCGGATCGGCAGCAGCCGCTCGCTCAGCCGGCCAGAATCCAGCAGAATCTTCACTGCCAGCAGGCACACGGCCCGCCGGGCGACGATTTTCTCACCCCACCCCACCTCTCTCAGGAGCCACAGTAGCACCAAACCTGCACTGCCTCATCCTCAATCCATACCACAAACCCACCCACCCCTTCCACATGCCACGCATACCCCCAATCCACCTCTTTCACCTCCCCCACCCCACCTCTTTCAGGAGCGACAGTAGCACCGAACTTGTTCCGCCTCTTCTTCCCCCACCGAATCGGCAGCAGCCACTCGCTCAGCCGGCCAGAATCCAGCAGAATCTTCACTGCCAGCAGGCACACGGCCCGGCGGGCAGCGATTTTCGACCGGCATGGCGGGCCGTGGATGGCGGGGACGCCGGCAGTGGCTGGCAGGCGGAGTGTGACTGTAAAGAGGCCCGCTGGAGGGTCGCTGGAAGCAGATAAAGCTGCAGTGGCACTTGAATCAATCGGAGATGAGGAGACGGAGAAAAATGGCTGCAGCACGCCACTCCTGTGTGTGTATCATGTGTTGGACATAGGGAGGGGGGCGGGAGGCGGGGAAAAGGTGGGGGGGGGGAGGTTGTATGGTCGAGAGAGAATCAACGAGAGTGGCAGCAGCATGGCTGCAGCACGCCACTCCTGTGTGTGTATCATGTGTTGGATATAGGGGAGGGGGAGGCGGGAGGTGGGGGGAAGGGGGAAGGTTGTATGTTTGAGAGAGAATGAATGGGGATGGCAGAAGAATGGCTGTAACACCCCATCCCTGTGGTATGATGTGATGATGGTGGGCATGGAAAGAGGGGGGGGAACGGGTGTTGGGGGGGGAGGGGAGAGAGGGGGGGCGCCAGGAAGAGGGGGGGTATGGTTGAGAAATGTAGAGCGGGGAAAGTGGGTTGGGAGCAGGGTGAGTGAGACATGAGGGATGGGAGGGAAATTACAAAGAACAATGGGATGGGGGCTGGATATGGAGAAGAATGGATGCAGGAACGCCACTTGTGTGGCGTGTGATATACATTGTTTGCGGGCATGTGGTGGTTTTGGGGAGGGGATTGGGAGAGGGGAGAGTGGGCGGGATGGGGGATAACGTGGGGTAACAAAGAAAGACTCCAGAAATATCAGCAAGCAACCCACCCGTCATTGGCCCCGAGGGTGTTACAGAACTGATAGACGAGAGCCACACTTCCCTGCCTCGTCACCATCGACCCTGTACTAGGCACCATCAGCACCCTGCTGCCGCCCCTCACTCCCCACCTACTCTCCACCTTCCCTTCCCCCTTCATCTTCCCCCCTACACCCTCTCCCCCCACAGCCTCCTCCCCTCCCTGCTCTGCCCCCACTTCCACGTTCACCCTCCCATCCCAATCCACATCCATCCCTTCCCCTTCTCCTCCCTCCTCTGCATCCTCCTCCTCCGTTTCATCTCCCCAAAACGACCCTCCCAGACCTGTAACTCCTTCTCTCTCCCCTCGGTTCTGGTTCTCGGTCTGATTCTGGGGGTTGCGCTGCTGCTGCACTGCGGCCTGCATGGTGCCCTCGTTGCGCATGAACTTGTCCAAATCCTCCTCGTACTTGCCATCACCCCTGTTGAGAACGAGCCAAAAAGTGGAAACAAATGAGGTCATGGTTAATGCAAGTAAGATTCCTGCGGGAAAACCCTCTGGCTGCTGCACCGTGAGTGAGTGGCTTGCATGGTGCCTTTATTGCGCATGAACTTGGCCAAATCCTCCTCGTACTTGCCATCGCCCCTGCTCAGGAAGAACCAACAGGCAGGAAAGATCAGGTTGTGTGAGGTCTGTGCAAGGGTAGATCCCAACAGGGGCTTCCTCTGGGCGTTGCGCTGCTGCTGCACGGTGGCCTGTATGGTGCCTTCATTGCGCATGAACTTGGCAAATTCTCCTTGTACTTGCCATCGCCAACCAGCTGCAACCAACACACCGTTGCACAAGCACCCGGAAATGCGCTCCTGGTTTCCGCGCCCTGCCGCGGGACTGCGGCATGGAGCGCACTGTGAGAACGCAGCTATCAAACCCACCCACCCTAACCCACCCCAACCGACCATAACCTACCGCTGCACAAGGACACGGAAGTGAGCTCCTGGTTTCCGCGCCCTGCCGCGCGATTGCAGCATGGAGCGCACTGTGAGAATGCGGTCGAATCGGATCACTGTGTGGCACGCTGGTATGTCCATGCCCTCCTCTGCTGCACTAGTTGCCACCAGCACGTTCAGCTGTAGGGAGGGAGAGGGTGAGAGTGAGGTAGGGGAAGGAAGCAAAAGAATGTCCACACTACTCTCTCACCCTCCCACTTGCTGTCCCCACTCCGCTTCTTCCCTCCCCTTCCTCTCTGACCCTCCCCCCTCTCACCCACCCCCTCACGCACCTACCCCTCTCTTTCCATCCCCTCTCTCCCCTCCACCCTCTCACCTTCCCAGCACGAAACCGTGAAATTGCAGAATCCGGCCGGGAGTGCTTAGCTGTCCCGCCCTGATTGGTCGAGATCCCGATCTTGGCAGCCCCAGCGCCAACCACAAAATCCGCCCTCAACGAGCCAGCAACCGAGGGCAGCAGACGGAGGAGTCGAGAGAGGCTGTGTGCGGTGACAATGCGCTCCACGAAAATGACAATGGTGGGGGACGGCTGTGAGGCGTAGAGGCGGAGGAGGGAGAGGAGGTGGGCGATTTTAGGGGTGAGGAGTGCAGAGGGGTGCGATGCCAGGGCGAGGGTGGCTTCTAATCCGTCTGGGCCTGGTGCCTTTGCCTCTGAATTCACACAGAAAGGAGGATGATAGGATGGAGAAAGGGGAAGGGGAGAGGAGGTGAGCGATTTTGGGGGTGAGGAGAGCAGAGGGGTGCGATGCGAGGGCGAGGGTGGCTTCTAGCCCGTCTGGGCCTGGTGCCTTGGCCTCTGAAGTCACATAGAAAGGAGGATGATAGGATGGAGAAAGGGGAAGGGGAGAGGAGGTGGGCAATTTTGGGGGTGAGGAGAGCAGAGGGGTGCGATGCGAGGGCGGGGGTTGCTTTTAGCCTGCCTGGGCCTGCTGCCTTGGCCTCTGGAGTCACATAAACGGAATGAGCCAATGGGGGGATGACGGGATGGGGAAAGGAGAGGAGGTGGGCGAGTTTGGGCGTGAGGAGAGCAGAGGGGTGAGATGCCAGGGCGAGGGCAGCTTCGAGTCCGCTTGGATGGTGCCTTGGCCTCTGGAGTCACATAAACGGAATGAACCAATTGGGACATGATGGGATGGGGTAAGGAGAGGAAGGAGAGGAGGTGGGCAATTTTGGGCGTGAGGAGAGCAGAGGGGTGCGATGCAAGGGCGAGGGTTGCTTCTAATCCGCCGGATGCTTTTGCTTTTGGATTCACATAGAGGGATTGAACAAAGGGGGAAGGGACGGGAAAGAGAGGGTGGAGCAGAGGAGGTGGGCGATTCAGGGAGTGAGGAGAGCAGAGGGATGTGATGCGAGAGGGATGTGATGCGAGAGGTATGGCAGCTTCGAGTCCGACTGGGCCCGGTGCCTTGGCCTCTGGCTGGACTCACAGTGTGGAAATGAACCAAAGGGACGGGGATGGGATGAGGAGGAACGAGCAGGAGAGGAGGTACGCTAGTTCGGGGTGAGGAGGGCTGGAGGGGTGGAGGGTAAGGGAGACCTGACAAGCTGACAGCAGTAATATGTTGATAGGGAGACCCACGCGAGTTCTCACCGGGGGGCAATCCACATTTCAGAAATGACTCGCAGCGGTTGATGAACTCCAATCGGACGGCTGCAAACGCGTCTTGCAGGCGGGCGTTCTCCTCGTGCTGGTCCATGGTCCCACTGGCTGCTTGTGAACGCAGCGAGTGCAGTGCCTGGAGGCAGGTGAGGGGATGAAGTGGGTGGGGGGCGGGGTAGTGAGGGAGTTGTGTGGCAGGTGCCACTGGCTGCTTGTGAGCGCAGGGAGTGCGGCGCCTGCAATGCACAGGGTGGCGAGTGAAGGGGGGTGGGAGGTGGGGTTTAGGGGGTGGGGGTGCAAACGCGTCTCGCATTCAGGCGTTCTCCTCGTGCTGGTCAATGGTGCCACTGGCTGCTTGTGAGCGCAGCGAGTGCAGCGCCTGCAATGTACAGGGTACCAGGGAAGCGGGAATGGTCAGAGAGGCAGCAACTCACACCAGTGATGGAACACTGTTTCTGTCAGTCAGCACCGCTGGGCAAGCAGGCTCTAGTGGTTGCATTGATTGCAGGAGAAAAGTGTATCATCATGGCAGAAGGGTGGTCACAACAGCAGAAACGCATGTTGTACAACCAGCTGGATACCAGTCGGTTGGTCATAAGGTCATACCAGGAATGCGGGGTAGTGGCCGAGGTCAGTGAGGCACCAGTCGAGGCACCTGGCTTACTTCCCCTCCTTGCCCCTGCCTTGCCCCACTGGAAAAGCAATACAGCCGTACCAGGAATGCGGGGTAGCGACCGAGGTCAGTGAGGCACCAGTCGATGGCTCCTGCAAAGTACTTGACTCGCTTCACCATCCTCCGCCGCACCTCCCCGTACGCTGCACTCCACCTCTGCTGCTGGTGGTTTTGAGAATTCTCGAAAACACCCTGCTGGTGGTTGTTTTGGTGATCGCCTTGGTGATTGCCTTGCTGCCCGTCCCTCCCCTGCTCTTGCTCCCTCCCCTCTTCCACCCGCCCCTCGCTCCCCCCCTCGATCTCCCCCACCTGTCCCATCCCCCCACTGTCGTTCACCACCCTCCTCCCCTCCTCCTCTATCCATCGCACCATGCCCTCCCTCTCCTTCTCCACCCTCCCCCGCAGCTGCAGCAGCACCTGCTCCTGCTCCTTGCCAGGGGGGTCGTAGTGGGACTGGATGGTCTGAGCGCTAGGTAGCACCTCCACCAGACACGACCTGTCCAGGACTGTGTAGAGCTGGGGAAGAACAGAGGGTTGGAATAGGGAGAGAGGGAGGGTGGTACTCGATGGTCTGCGCGCTGGGTAGCACCTCCACCAGACACAACCTGTCCAGAACCGTGTATAGCTGTGGGGAGAGAAGGCACATGAGAACAACGAGAAGCTTGGAGGTCGGGGGAGTGGAAAGAGGGGATCAAATGGCCCCACCACACGATCCAATCATCACCATACCTGTCCAGCACCACACCTTGGAATTTGGTGTCACGTACCTTTGAATCCAGGTGACTTTTGAGTTGACTCAAAACTCAAACGCTCAAACTCTAGCAGCTGCTGCACGCAAGACTCCTCCGAACCGCTGCCCTTGGCGTTGATGGGTGATGCTGTCATGCCGAATACCAACCCCGCCCTACTCCCAGCCCCTCAGCCTCTATCAAGTGCCACACATAGTGTGCCACACACATACCTTTGAATCGAGAATCCTCTCGAACTCAAGCAGCTGCTGCACGCATGACTCCTCCGACCCGCTGCCCTTGGTGTTGATGGGCGACGCCGTCATGCCAAATATAAGTGGCCGCTCCGCCTGCTTCATAGAGAAGTACCACGTCTGCTCTCGGATAAGGGCGGTGTGGGGTGGGAAAGGCCCAGAACGACTCAGTGGCTGCCAGTCACGTCTGATTTCAAAGCAGTGATGCTGTCATGCCGAATATGAGCGGCCTCTCCGCCTGCTTCATAGAGAAGTACCACGTCTGCTCAAATGAAGGGGTGGTGAGGGATAGAAAAGGGTTGGGCGGGATTCCGTTGCTTGCTGCCCTCTTCTGATCCGCTGCCCTTGGTGTTGATGGGCGACGCTGTCATGCTGAATATGAGCGGCCGGTCGCTCTGCCTCAGGGAGAAGTACCACGTCTGCTCGGATACGGGCATGGGTGCGGGATGGGAAGGGAGGGGTTTGGACATAATCTGTCAAGGGCGTGGGTGCAATTCTCCTCCGACCCGCTGCCCTTGGTGTTGATGAGCGACGCTGTCATGCCGAATATGAGTGGCTGCTCCCTGCCTCAGGGAGAAGTACCACGTCTGCTCGGATAAAGGGGGGGGGATCAGAAAGTCGAGGGATTGGAAACACTTGGAGAAGATGTTCGTAGGGTGTAGGGGTGGTCCTTTGTGTTCATGGTGCAATGGCCCCCTGGAAACAAAACGCTTACTGAAGAGCAGGTCCACTGAGAAGAGCGACAGCAAGGCATGCAGCACACTGCCTTGCACGTCGCGATGTTGCGTCCATAGTAGCACTCATCAGATGGTACTCTATGGGGGCTTACCTTCATGATTGTGGCGTAGGCATGGTCCTTGGCGGTGTGATGGCACTCGTCGAATATGAGGAGATCGACTGAAGAGAGAGACAGGAAGGCGTGCTGGAGGAGGTTCACGAGCACCTGAGGCGTCATCACCAGCACCTGGAGAGGAGAGTGGGGAGGGCGGCAGGGGAAAAAGCACAATCAGACCAAGGACGTTCAAGGGGAGACGAGTGGGCAGGGAGAGACAGAAAGGCGTGCTGTAGTAGGTTCTCGAGCACCTGAGGCGTCATCACCAGCACCTGGGAGGGAGGGAGGGGAGGAGGGGAAGGGGCAGAGACAGCAGCACAAGGGAGGGAAGGCGGGCAGGGGGATGAGTATGTATGGCATGCGGAGGCAGGAAGGCGTGCTGGAGGAGGTTCACGAGCACTTGAGGCGTCATCACTAGCACCTGAGGGGAGCAACAGAGGAACCACGGACAAGGAGGGTAGGGACAGCCAAGAGGGGGACAGGAAGGGGTGTTGCAGCTTGTAGGCTTTTAAGGTTTAGTTTAGGGTTGAACAATGAGCCACGAGGGCAAAAACCCTAAACCCTGTATGTCCTAAAACGCACGCACCTCATGCCTGGAGACCTGCTGCTCCACCCACGTGGCCTCGTATTTGATCTCTGTGTCTGTGCTGTACTTCCCCACCCGCATGTCCGTCACCATAACAATGAGCCAACCTGAGCAGCTGAGTTTCCATCCATGTCCTACAACAAGTACGGACCTCATGCCCGGAGACCTGTTTCTGCACCCATGAAGCCTCGTACTTGATCTCCTTGTCTGTGCTGTACTTCCCCACCCGCATGTCCGTCTGCTGCTCCACCACTGCTCCACCACTGCTCCACCACAATAATGAGCCTGCCTGAGCCTGATACGCAACATCTGCATACCTCATGCCGGGAGACCTGCCGCTGCACCCATGTGGCCTCGTATTTGATCTCCGTGTCTGTGCTGTACTTCCCCACACGCATGTCCGTCTGCTGCTCCACCACCGCCGCTTGCTGTGGTGAGGGGATGGAAGCACGGGGATGGATGAATACAATACACAAACAAGAACGTGCGTCATTCTCATGGATGAACACGAAACCAAGATGTGCGATGACTCCCCACCCGTATGTCTGTATGCTGCTCACCCACTGCCGCTTGCTGCATTCAAGGGGGTAAGAACAAGGGGAAAGTTGCACAAAACTAACGTGCGTCACACATACTTGCAAAAATCCACACAAGAAGGAAATCTATATTAAAGACAGCAGCTGAAGCAGGAAATTCAATCATGCTTGCATCTGCACATTTTCGCAACCCTCAACAACTCTCACTCGCTCCCCCTGAACCAACCTGAATCACCAGAGCAACTGCTGGCACCAGAAAGACACAAATATTGTACTGTAAGTGAGTCGACTCAGAGGCCACCTTCCCTGTCCGGCCCCATCCCATCCACCTCCCTCATCTCACCCACCTGCTCCCTGCACCAACCTGAATCACCAGAGCAACCGCCGGCACCAGAAAGACACAGATCTTGCCACTTTTCTCCCGCATCTGACGGCGAGCCTGCATGAGAGCACAAAGACGGAAGGAAGAGAGTTTGGAGACGTCTCAAAGATCTTGCCAATCCTCTTCCACATCTGACAGCGAGCCTGCATGAGGGCATGAGGAAGGAAGAAACTGACAATACACTCAGTAGTTAGCAAAAATTCCAAATGCGATGGGAATGTTATGCTGCGTCAAACAGTAAACTTCAACTACCCTCGTTTCAGTACAGAAAAAATGTATTCTGACTCAGTCAGTTTCAGTCTAATTCAGGTGAAATTACCCACAATCGACAAATGCCATGCAGATTCACACACTATTGTCAATTAATGGCGTTCTAAAACACCTAATGCCCTTCTGTATCAGACCATGACCTCATTCAGCTTAATTAGACTGTGCCTTCCATAAACAGGCTCACCTGCATAAGCATGATGACAACTAGAGTCTTCCCCATGCCTGTCTGTCGGTCACCATGCAGCAATACAACATGTTAAAGTACATCTCAAAGATAAACTCATAATCACCTGCATGAGCATGACCGCAATCAGCGTCTTCCCCATGCCTGTCTCCAGATAGACGATCGTGTTGCGCTCCAGAGCCACCTGAAGAACCTCCTGCTGGTACCTGCAGGCAGAGCAGTAGGTGGTAACAACAGATAAAGTAAATAATAGTGTGCGCTCGAGGGCCACCTGAAGAACCTCCTGCTGGTACCTGCGGCAGAACGGACGAAAGCAGCAGGTGGTAACAGACTCTTCAGACGCCTCAGAACCAGACGTAGACAATAACGCTGTGAGAGAAGGGGTTGTACAGAGATCCAGGTTATTGAAAGTCACCTTAATGGAACGACTGTCAAGTCGACTCAGAAGTTCTAACGAGACGGATAGTTAAGAGACCAACTTAAACTAGACGCGAGTAGAAGCGTTAAGCAAAGCATAATATGCAAGACGTCAAGAAGAAGAATACGGAATCGTGTAGAAGAAAATCCTTCAGGAGAGAACGTCACCCACTGTCGCAGCTGCAAGATAATCTTCTTTTTCTTCGTGCTCGCGGATTCCCGCCCTTTAGTCCTCCTCCCCGTCCGCTTCATCATCCTTGATGAGTCGTTTCCCAAGCCAGATCCCGTCCCGTCTCCTGCGTGCTTGCCTCGCTTCTGTGTGTTTTCATCCCCTCGCTTCGCCGTCTTCGATTCCCCCTGAACCGCATCCATCGCTAAACGAGTAGACACACGTCCGTCAATCCTATACAGAAAAAAATTGCTACCGATTTCCCTGCTCTAGGGAACAAATCCTGCAAATCCTACGACGGATACGCGAATTGGAAGAGCAATTCGCAATTGAGACGATGAGCGCTTCGCCGGAGAAGCCACACCATCAACGCAACACCATCTCTACTCCCTAACCGGCCATCACCCAGCCTGAAGTGGCATTCAGGGGCCTTCTTGTCTCTGCTTGCGAAACCGCCTCTACAAAAAACCGTCAGGAATTGACCCGACCTTGACCAGGCCTGAAACTGACATTTGATGTCTCTCGTGGCTTCTCATGCTGGTTGGTTGCTGCTGGTTCGAGGTATGGTGCTGCTCTCCTTTCCCTTGGCGAGCCTCGAAATTGTCATCACGATGGTGGATGTTAGTTTCGCGCGCAATTTGGCGGCACTGGTGCGATAACAACTTGGCTTCAGAGCGACCGTGAGTCAAATTGTGATGAATATTCAAGTGTATGTTCTGTATGAAATATGAAAAAAACTAACTCTAAACAAGAGTTCAGTCAAATTGATTTCAATCCAGGCATACCGTACACTATCTAAAATGTGTTTTTGTGTCTAGCACTCAAGAATGGCAAAGGAGCCTAACGAGCTGTCACCCTCCTACGGAGCAAACCCCACCAAGCAAATCCCCTTTTTGATAAAACCACATGCTCAATCTTACTAATTTCATCCCTTCCAACCGTCTCATTTTTAGCTGCACCTTTCTCTGCCTCAGCTTCCCCTCCAGCCACATCATCTACAGGTGCATCAGCAGCAGAACAGGCTGCCAACAACACCTCCTCTCTCAGCTGATCCGTTTCATCCAAACTGCTCCTTCTCTTGGCAGCTTCAGCATGGATACTCTCCCCAAAGGTGCTTGACTGGTGAATGGCGCTGCTGCTGCCACTGATGCTTCTTCGCCGCCCCCTTTTCAACATGGAAAGAGGCGACGAGAACCATCCATTTCCATCTGCTCTCAGAGAGGCTTTGGAGCCTGACTTTTGGAACAAAATGGAGGGGGTGCCTTTCCCTGAATGAACTTTGCCGTTGCTGCAGCTGCCGTTGCTGTTGCTGCCGCTGCCACTACTATTTCCAGCTCCACTATCTAAGTCACGGGTGGATGATGCAGAGGGGGGTTGACTGGGGGTGTCATCTCTGGATCCCGTTTCAGGCTTGAGTCTAGATTCAGTGCTTGTGACAACTAAGGCTGGTCTTGATGGATCCTCCTTAGAAGCTTCTCCGGCACCTGTGAGGCTGATTCCCGCGTTCTGAATGATGTTAGGACTAACAGGCTCTTGGAATTGATCTTCCGGGTCTGCTGGCAGGGAACGGACAAGGAAGGCAGGGGAAGACATACGATTGGAGGAGAAGGTAGAGTTGAACTAACTGCACACGGCAGGGAAAAGGAAACTGCATACTGGGTGCAGTGTACAGTGTATGGGGTGTAGCTCCTTTCTAGGATATATGCATGGAGCTTCCATGCATGCTTGTTTAATTTGTTGTGCACGCAACGACAAATGTAGCAGCGCAGCGCACACAAGGCAGAGGATGAGGGTCATTACAAGGCACAGGTTCGGCTACTGGCTCGGAGGCTGCTCCTGACCTTGCCTCGTGCTCGCAGGCTTGGCAAACTTAGACCCTCCCGACAAGAGCCAGCCGAAATACTCCGTATCTGTTACAACCAAGCACAGGTTACCACACATCCAGTTGGGACAACGTTTAGATGAGTTACTGGTGGTCAGCAGGTGCAACTTGCAAGGAGAATGAAGGAGAAGCAGGGAATGGAGGGGCTGGACGGGAATGGGCATGAGCACGAGCATGAGCATGGGCTGGGGCATGGGGGGATTTTGCATGGGCATGGGGATGGGCATAAACTGGGCCTGGGAACGGGCATGAGCAAGGCGTGGGCAACGGCACGGCCATGATGGCATGGGCATGGAAAGGGGCATGAGCATGAGCATGAGCATGGGCATGAGCATGGGCATGGGGCGTGGCCTTCGGTATGGGCACGAGCGTATGGGAACACGCAGGGCCGGGGCATGACGTGCACATGGGCGTTGGCATGGGCCCGTGGAGGATGACGACGAGGAACGAGCGGACTAGAAAAAACACGAAACAAAAAAATGATGGGAATCTTGCAGAGGAGAGGGGAAGAAATACCAGAAACTGGAGTGAGGAAGGCGAAAAGAGCGGTAGGAGCAGGGGCTAAACGCTTTATGTTATGTGTTCTTGTTTTGGTGTAGGTTCACCACCATTATTAATGTTGCTACACTGTTGAGGCTTACCTGCATATTCCGAATCCTCTTGACCAACTCCGAGCTTATCCATAACCGCGGCCTTTCCACCCGATTTCTCCCCCGACCGCATTCCGCCGAGCGGTTTGATCTTCGGCACAGCTGCCGATTTCGCCAGCTCTGCCAATTCGGGGTAACTTTTCGATCGCGACCTTTCCAGTTTCGCCGGCTCTTCGCGAGCAGGAGCGTCCGACGAAACCCTCGGCGAAGTTTTGTGGTCGTCGATGTAGCTGCTGTAACTGCTACCTTGATATGGCTGCATGAATACCGAGTCCGCATTCCCCGCCGCGTTCGCCGCTCCTCTGTTCGCACCCCAGACGCGCATTGCAGCAAGAACTTCCGACGTTTCGACATTCACCGAACCCCGCGGGTGAGGCTTCTTGTCCGCGTTTTCCAAGGCGTTCACGCTGTTACTTTTTCTCATCTCACTCTTCTCGCTGGTATCCGCGTTCGGCGCGTCGTTTTCGCTTGTTGCTGAGCCTGTGGCGTCTTGAATCTTCAGCCCTGCGACATCTGCGACAGCTTCGCCGACTTGCTCCGGTTTCGCATGGTCGGAATAAGAAGGAAACATCATGTCTTCTACCACCGAAACATTTGTAACCCCGTTGTCTCCAACCGAAGCGGGATTTTCGCCATCGGCCTGGTTACCAGGCGTCGTCAAGAAGCTGTCCAGCGTCGCGTTTGCGTTCGTACTCGCAGCAACCCGATTGCGAATCTTTGGCTTTGGGGGAGATGAACCCGTCGCAGAATCCGATGCATCTGACTCCACTATCTGCTGCTGTCGCGCTGCCTTCAGATGCTGCGACGCCGTCTTGAGGTGCATTGGGTCGACGACGGTCGCTGGCGCCGCATGGCGACGGGAATGGTGGTGCGACGACGAAGACGACTTGTGCGACGCGACGGGAATGTCGGCTATGGAGAGGAGCTCGGAGAGGATTTCTTTCTCCGACGACTTGTGCGAGGAATGTTTGTGCGACGAATGATCGTGCGACGACGGGTCGGCAGCATCAGCTGCGGCTGGTTCTCGCGCGCAGTCCACAGAGGGAGCCTGTTCCGCCATAACAAAATACCTTGGAGTCCCTCCGCGAGCTTCACTCGAGAATGAAAATAATGGTTTAAGAATCAGACGGGAGCAGGTGAATTCCGAGAGAGGAAAGTTACGAAGGCGGCTGAACTGATAAAACTCACAATTGAAGAAGCAAGCCTGTTTGAAGATAAGTGGTCAGGAGGAGTTTGTTTGGTGTGTTTTCCCGAAGGAGTCCGAAAAGTTGAGAATGTGAACTGCAAATAGCGACGCCACCGTCCGTCCGGATTCAAAGGTTGTGCACGGTATAAGGGGTTATTGTAGTGTTTCGGTACGTTTCTACGGTGCGAAGAGTTTACCATCCGAGGAGGGAGCAGACTGTATTGAACTGTGACAGATGAGGTGAGGTGAGGAGCGAGCTGGACAGCTCATCCTTGATGTAAGGACTGGCTGACGTGTGTTGGATATGGTGGGGGGCGGTGTGTTTGTGATGGCGCAGGGAGTAACCGATTTCTGCGATCTATGGGATTGTCTGGTGGAGAAAAATCTGAAATGCTCATTTTCGTCCTTCCTGCAATGTTCATTTTGACAAAATTGCGCTCCCGACCACAGAGCACAGTCAATTCCATACAAAAGAGTTGATAACCACAGAAGTTGAGGTCCGTGCGAAGCATAACTGTTTCTTTAGCAATGTGGGACAATTACCCCTTGTATGAAAAAAATATGGGTTCTACAACTTCTCACAAGTCCTAAAAAGATCTTCATCTCCCTCCTGCGTGCGGAACTCTTCTTCGCCGCCAGACCCGGGCCACCGTCCACTGACGCATTTCTCCTGAACCTCACGTTTTTCCCATGTGGCAAGGTGGCCTCGGCTACTGATCCTCAGCAAGGATCCGATGAATTGTCGCCACAACCTCGTTATCTCAATCGCCTGGAAGGAGGCGGTTCCTTCTAACGAAATATTCGGTGTAGTGGCATTGAATTAGCGGACTCAAACCACAATACATCGCCACGTTATGTGTTCAGCTTCCATGCAATTTGTTCAACAAAATATACATTTCAAAACATACATAACACAGTTATAGTACAGCAGTTATACACTCCATTCTTTTTCCTGGACCATGTCATGCATCTCTTAGCCATGTGCCACTTCAAGACGCCACAACTTGGCGATGCATAACCGCTTTCACAAGCCGCTTCCATTTATTACCAGGGCCCACCTTCGTGCTCCCTTCCCTCAACTCTTCACCTCCAGGGGCAATCACTCCCTTGAAGTCATCCACCTCCCCGTCATGCAAATCAACGGGCTCAAGGGTTGTGCGAGTAGTCTCAGGCAGCCCATTTCCCGCAACGGCCGTTATGGATGATGACTCAGCCACGGGGGAATCCAAATCTGCTCGTCTTGGCCCTTCCCTGAATCTTGACGGCACCAACACAGGTCCTCCGCTCGACCCGCTCCCGCTGGCGCTTAACCAAATCTTGGACGGCGAAGAGGCTCTTGGTGACACACTACTGAGTACAGAAGCAGCCAATAACGGGGACGGAGGGCCTGCTAGTGTAGGTGCGGCAAAAGCAACAGCAGCAAGAGCAGGAGAGTCAGGTCCAGATGTTCTTCTCACACACCCTTCTGGTTCGAATTCCCCCTTCTCCCTTCTCTGATAAGCTCTCATGATTTTCCCAGGCGTAGCAGGTGATAGGCCTGGGCGCTCCAGGCCTTCTCCAGGGGAAGACTGTTGATATTCCCGAGGGGAGTTGCGAGGGGATTCGGCAGGGGAGGAGGAGGACCAGCAGGAGGAGAGAGGTGAGCAGGGGGAGTTGGAAAAGAGAGCAGACTGGAATCGCATCAGGGCGGCGGTAGGGGAGGAAATAGAAGAGGGGGAGGAGGAATATGAAGGCAATGGAGAGGATGAGTAGGAGGCCGAGGCGGAGGAGGAAGCGGATGAGGAGGAGGATGGGGTGCGGGACTTTGATGGAGAGGCTGTGGTGGTGGAGGATGGGGTGTGACACTGCCGCCCGCGATTCGGAGAATCGAATCTGGACGGGGATTTGAATCTTGATGGGGAATCGAATCTGGATGGGGAATCAAATTTTGACGGAGAATCGAATCTGGAGGGAGATTTTAGTTTGGAGGGAGATTCAAACCTTGAGGTTTTCGAAGTGGAGTCCATGTGAGGGGAGCGGTATGGGGAGTGGAACTGAGAAGGGGAGGAGCAGCTGGGAGATTGTAGGGTCGGGACGTCAATGTGTGGGTGTCTGTTGCGCAGGTGGGCAATCTTGACGGGGAGAAGGGGTCTGGGTAGGGTGGTGTTGGGTGCGGTGAAGCTGGGTGGGGTGCTGCTTGGTGGGGCGGCGCGGTTGGGTGGGGTGGTGGGCACAGTAGCGGCGGCAGCAGGAGTGACGGCAGCAGCAGCAGCACTGGTGGAATCAGCATTGGTGGAAGCAGGACAGGAGGCAGATCTCCCACTAGCAGCGATAGCAGTGTCATTTGAGCGTGCAGCAGCAGCAGGTACGGCAGCAGTAGCAGGAGTTACAGCAGCAGTAGCAGGAGTATCTACATTGCAGGCCGTAACGTTGCCACCGTTACAGCTTCTGCCGTTACAGGCAGTACCGGAGCTTGAGCCACTTACTTCCTCAGCAGAAGACAGAGGAAATTCAGTCGCAGAGATGGGAGGAGCTGAGGCCGGTGAGGAATGGTCTGGAAAGGTGATATGGTATGAGACGTGAATCTGAGAACGAGAGGGACGAGGGGGAGGCTCCTGCTGCCGCGCGCTGCCGCTGCCTGCCACGTCAAGAAGGCCTGGTGTGACGTCAGCCACGAAGATGTCAACAAAAAGCAGCTTGACTCCCTCAGCATCCCTGGCTTGGCAGATGACCGAAATATCTTGCCAGTTGGAGCACTCCACGTCAGCAAACTCCTCCAGGTCACCCCACTCCTCGCTCTCCTCCTCTGTACCCCCATCAGCCGCGACCTCCGCTCCCCCTTCCTCCCCTTCCTCCCCTTCCTCCCCTTCCGCCAGACTCTCCGCCCCACGATCCGCTTCCGCTTCCTTGCTGCCCCGGAGCTGAATCGGGGCGCGCATTTTCCTGCCTAGACGCTGACCCTCACTGTCTCGCATTGCCTGCTGCCGGCCCACGTCTCTCAGGCTCACGCCCGTTTGTGTCACATCCGCTCTTGTCGCGCTAGTGGACAGCGACGCTGCGAATGAAGACGTTCCAGTCGCCGCGCTATTGAAGCTGTAATTCGCGACGCTCGCGCTCGTCGTCAGGCTGCTGTTGCTGCTGCTGCGGCTGAAAGCGACGGTTCCGTCGCCCGCAAAAGTGCTTTTGATCGTCGACACACTGAACTCGCTGCTGCTGCCGCCAAGACTCGCAAGGCTCGCGATGCTTGCGACGCTGGCGACACCGGCGACGTTTGCGACGTTTCTACTGGAAGGAACGCGAGCAACCCTGGGAAAGTTCCCGCTGCTGCTTCCGCTTCTCGGGATGCTTGCGACATTAGCTCCAGCGTCGCTCGCGCTGCTTGCGACGGTGTTCACGGCGCTCGCGACGCTCATTATCGCCTGCATCCTTCGCCCGCCGCTTCGCCCGCTTCTCGCCGTTGTAAAATCGGAGCGCGATTCTTGAGGATTCTCAGAAACCAGCTCACCGCTTCGCCCGCTTCTCACCCTTGTAATAATGGAGCGCGACTCTTGCTCCGCCGGAAATGGCGCCGACGCGTCAACACTGCGACTCAACGGAATAGCGCCGTTCTTAATCCGCGAGACAGGGGAGTTCCGCGCAGGAGATTCGCGCGCAGGAGACTCGCTTTTCCCGCGCAACCGCTGGAGAAGCCGCGAGCGGCTCGTGGGTGAGGGCGCCGCGAGAGCCGCCGCGGAGCCCGTCGGGGACGGCGAGGGACACGGCGAGCCGTTGGATGATTGGAACGCGAGGAATCCGACGGCTCGCGGTGGCGTTCGGATGAAAGCCGCGGAGTTGTGGCGGAATAGGCGGCGGCGATGGAGCAACGAGTTTCCTGTTGCGGTGTTCCCTCCATTAGCACCAACCGCGGCGCTGATTTCGTGCGCGCCGACCCGTGCGCCGCCGAGTTCTCCGCTGGTGCTTGGTCTAGATCGAGGCCGCCGCGCTTGCGACTCGAAGAGGTCAAATGCCGCTTCGAGCGGGCCCGACCGTGATCGATCCAGAGGATACGCCTCGGGGTTTTCTAGCTCACAGCCGTAGCGGCTGCAGCGGCGGCTGGGGCGGTCGATTGCGCCAATAGCGTTCCGGCCCGCGCTGATGCTCCGGGAATCGCGGCCGCTGCTGTACCTGTTGCTGTGACTGATTCCGCGCAAATTTGAATTGTCAAGGATGATGTCGCTCACTGGCGACGCGAACCGCGCGCTGCTATATCCTCTGTCGCGTTCCCTTATCGAAGCCATAGTTTGTCGGGGATGGGGATATTGGCGGGGATTTTATATTTCAGGTCCTCGCAGGAACGATTCAAGAAAAGCCGAAGGTAAGGAGGCAAAGGAAGGAATTGTTTTTTTCTAATGTCTAGTGTCGTTGAAAGTGGAGGTAAGGTTAGTAAAATGTTGAGTGCAGCAATATTGGAACGGCAACATTGAAATGAAGATAATAAACAGCTGAAGGCCGACCCCGCGCGTTCAATGGCTGCGTCTCTTCTGATACTGCAGACGGGGCGTGGGTCTACCGACTCGATTTGCGATCGAAGGATCTGCTGCTCCCTGCTTCATCTGCCTCCCCCTCAGTAGAAAGCGAAATATTTGTGGTCTACCCGTCCACCTGAAACAATTCTGCATGTCAATCAAAAGCCCACCGTGGAGCTTTTACCCCCTCTCACCAACTTACCCGCGTCTGCAGCAGTAAATTTTCCTTCACTAGGACTTGGTCAAACCGATTATGATGCAAATCAAGCGACTCGGGAGTCAGAGGAGAGAAATTTGCACGCGGCGCGGTCAGCAGCTTCTTCAGACACTGTGGTACAGTCGGTGCTCATTTCAAGAACACCAGGTAGTGGGCGGCATGTGATTGAAACGAGTTTTGAGCAGTTCGCCACATTCGCCCTTGTCGCCACGGGCAAAAATGTGATTGTAAAACGAAATTGGAATGTGAAACGAGTCTAGGGGTTTAAGTTCGTAACCAGGTTTAAGTTCTGATGACAGGCATCCGTTGCTGTTTGTGAACTGTAGATGTTTTTCTTCCTCGACTTGGTGACTGTACCCCGAAATCAGCACAATCACCACTCACAGGCAAAACGTTCGCGAGTGACTGATTTTCTAAGGGTGATGAGCAAATTTTTGTGATAGGCTGAGCATCGACTGTACCACGGCCGTGAGGTTCGAGGCAAGATTGGGTCATCAACGGGGTGGATTGCTTATTGCAACTCCAGGTGCCTCCAAGATGGCGAGATGAACCAATCAGAAACCACAAAAACATTTGGGGCGGCCGGCTCGGCTCGTTTTGTTCAACCAAGCCAGCTGGCTGACTTTCCTTCTTTTTGGACGGACGCAACAGCCTCGGTTTTGAGCGTTACTGAAACTGTGATGTGGGGGCAAATGTCTGTGACGTGTAGCGTTGCATTGCTGCTCACGTGCTAACAAAACAAACCCACAACAGCATGATTTGGTTGCTCAAGCGTGGATGGGGGTCAGAAAGCTGCCCTGAATCCAGAATCCTGCCACGGCTTCTCGCAACCAGGCGGGGAGGAGCGTTCAGGGTACACGCGACCCATCCATACACTTCGCTTTGCACTTTTTCTATTCTTGCTTCACAGGTTTCTATCTGCCCGATGACGAACGAGTCTGACAAAAACTTTAATCACGCCTGTGCTGATAGGAAACCGCCCCCAATCAATTGGTTGTAACGCTCCTCCGTCGGAGGTGGGGCGAAGGTGGGTTCATCAATCAGACATAGCGCTCCCGCTCTGCTTCCACCCTCCTGAAAGAGGGAGGACTCGTCTCATCTGGTTGACTCAGTTCGCTCGCGTAGTAACAGCTCCGCTTGGATTATAACATCATAGTGATATCCTAAGAGGCTAATAAAGGCTATAGCAAAGAACTCCCGTGACTCCTCACTGCACCGCAACCTCAATACAAGGAGCCGACAACGTTGTGATGCACTCGATTGGTTGAAATACCTGCTGAGCTGGCCATGACGTGGCGTCTCCACATCAACAAAAGCATCCAATCACGAAGTGCGACCATCTACAGAAATTGCCGAGAAACACTTCAGCAATGAATGTGCGAAAAGATCTGCGACCAGTAACTGACCAGTAACAGCCCCTCGCAGTGGATTTTCCCCGCTTTCGTCCTGGCGAAACTCGTCAGCAATTCGCTTACGATTCGCCAGTCCACGCTGTGGTATTCGCTGAATTCAACGTGGAAGGCAGTAGTCAAAACGCGCATCTACCAACTTCTTCCGACGGAATTAGCTTAGGGTGTGGAACATCCTTATGAACAAGCGTTTGGTCGCTTGTGTGGTCGAACATTTGGCTTCGTCAGATGTTTGTGACTGTTGTCGTTAGGTAACACACAAAACCATACACTGCATATCGGGGTTGCTTTTCGGACACAGAGGGGAAGCTTGGTCGACCAGCAGCGAGGAAAAGCGATGATACACGACTCGCAATGAGTCGTCAATACCTTCGCGGCAAATTGGGTGCGTGTATTCCACTCACGACAACACCTGGTTGCAACTCGCATGTTTCTTCGTGTATCGCCAGTTCTTGTCGTATTTGTGTAGTTGAAAAAGTGTGGGGCGACCAAGAACATAAGTTGTGGAACGTGTGTGGTTGTTGCAGTTTTCGTCACTCCCCTACGAAGCTCAACTGCGAGAAACTCAGAAGTGGTTACCGTCGCAATTGAGCGACCAACCCTTTGTTCATAAGGATGTTCCACTAAGCGAACAGAGCGTGGAACATCCTCTTGAACAAAGCGATGGTCGCCCAACAGCGACGGTAACCATTGTTGCGACCATCGCCATTTACCTACGAAGCAGACTGACGAAGACTGCCTGAAGAACGCACGTTCCACAGCCTATGCTTGTTGGTCGCCCCACCCGTTGAACCTCGCAGATAAGAAAAACTTGCGAAATGAAACCAGGTGTTGTCGTGAGTGACGTGCTGCGACCAGGGCCTAAGTTATCAGGGCAATTACCCTGTTTTGACTGAAATTATAAGGTGATTTTTCTAGGAGCCCTGATTTTCACAAGGTTTTTTCCGGACCAGCCCGTAAAACTGAAGGGTGATTTTTGAGTCAGCTCGGATCTCTCCGGGGAGTTCTCAAGGGGACCCGTATAATTTTAGCAGACATGTTCTCCCCGACCTGCCTTGCATACATCTCGGTCTCCCTCTAAACACACGTTGGGCCAATTTTAGTGAATTTCCTAACCACTCTCTCCTTGTTGGCCTCCATGTGTCTGATTGCCCCGTTCTACGTCGACATGGCTTAGAAGGCCAATAAGGAGAGAGTGTCTGATTGCCCTGTTCTCCCGATGTACTCTTCCTCATCGTATTTTTTTCTAAGTCTACAAAAAGTATCTCGCTCACCCCTCCAGAGCCACTCCATCTCCAATCTCCCCAGCCCTCGCGCAACCCACTGTGAGTTTCCCGCGAAATTCTGGTAATGCATGTTTTCAGGCCTTTTCTGGCTCGAACCCGGATTCGTCAAGGTTTTTTTCCCGCTGGCTCGGATTTTACAGGGTCTTTTTCACAGGGGCCCGGATCGTCCGAGCTAGCAAAAATCCTAGCAATAGCCCTGGCTGCGACCCAATATGCATCACGGTGTTTGACGAAGCAGGCGCTTTCGTGTATCATCACCACTCCGTATTTCTGGGCGACCAAGTGTTTCCAACTTGGGATATGGGGTTTTGCGTGTTACCTGACGAAAACCATTGACGAGACAAATGTTCGACCAGAGAGCCGACGGGATACCTGTTCACAAGGATGTTCCACGCTCTTAGCGCTAGTGAATTCAGTTCGTCTGCGCTGAACGCGGTACTCCAAGCATTTGAATTTGTCTTGAGGCTACCCTTTCACTTAACTCAAGGCCGTTCGGAGGAAGGATCCCCCGTTAGTCAGTGGCGAGCCATGGCGACGGCAACTGCGGCGGCATATGCGGCGGCAACTGCAGCGGCAAATGCGGCGGCTTCGACGCCCGTGTTCGTGTACGGCACGCTCATGGCGGACGAGGTGCTCCACGCGCTGCTGGATCGAGTTCCCACTTCCGCGCCCGCGCGCTTGCCCAACTTGTAAGTGCGGATTCCGCCCACCCGCGTGCTGTGCCGTACGCTTGCGCGGAGAAGGTGCTCCACGCGCTGCTCGATCGAGTTCCCGCGTCGGCTCCCGCGCGCCTGCCCAACTTGTGAGTTGATTTTCCCACCCCCTCCTCCACCCTTACCCCCGCCGTGCCGTACGGCACGCTCATGGCGGACGAGGTGCTCCGCGCGCTGCTCGATCGATTTCCCGCTTCCGCGCCCGCGCGGCTGCCCGATTTGTGAGTTGATTCCTGCACCCCCTCCTGGCCCCTCCCCCCCGACTCGAAGACACGACTCGGCTCCCGTTCCCCCGCCCTTCTCCGCCCCGTTCCGTTCCCCCCATCTCTCACTTCGCTCCGCCGAGGCCGCAATACCCCGCAGTGGTCCCCTCATCCCCCACGCCCCCCACTCCCCCCCTACTCCCCTCTTTCCACCAGCACGCGCCACAGCATCAAGGGGCGGCAGTAACCCACAGTGGTCCCCTCCACTCCCTCCCCCCTTCGTTCCCCGCGGATCCCCCGATCCCCCACGCCCCCCACTTCCCCCCTCCTCTCCCCTTTCCATCCCCCCTTCCCCCACCAGCACGCGCCACAGCATCAAGGGGCGGCAGTACCCCGCAGTGGTCCCCTCCACACCTTCCCCCCTTCGTTCCCCGCGGATTCCCCCATCCCCCACCCCCCCACTCCCCCCCTCCCCCCCTCCTCTCCCCTTTCCATCCCCCCTCCCCTCACCAGCACGCGGCACAGCATCAAGGGGCGGCAGTACCCTGCAGTGGTTCCGAAAGCGCACTCATCCCCACCACCCCTTCATTCCTCACTGTTACCTTTCCGAACCCCTTCACCCTCCCAGCACGCGCCACAGCATCAAGGGGCGGCAGTACCCCGCAGTGGTCTCCTCAGTGGTCCCTTCTCCGTCTTTCCGCCCGGCCCCCCTCTCCTCCCTCCTCCCCCCCCCTTCCCCGCGCCCGCACCTCCCCCCTCCCAGCACGCGCCACAGCATCAAGGGGCGGCAGTACCCCGCAGTGGTCTCCTCAGTGGTCCCTTCTCCGTCTTTCCGCCCGGCCCCCCTCTCCTCCCTCCCCCCCCCCCCTTCCCCGCGCCCGCACCTCCCCCCTCCCAGCACGCGCCACAGCATCAAGGGGCGGCAGTACCCCGCTGTGGTTCCGAAAGCACAGGACTCCGTGATGGGGAAGGTACGGCGGAAGGGGGAAGGGGGGCGGGTGATGGGGAAGGTGCGGCGGAAGGGGGGAGGCGGGAGAGGGGAGGCGGGGGGGTTGGACGGAGTGGGGGGGAGGATGGGGAAGACGCTGGGGAAGAGTTGGGGGAGTGGCTGGGGAAAATTCGTGTTTGAGTCGACTCAAAACACGGAGTGGGGGGAGAGGATGGGGAAGACGCTGGGGCGGGGGAGGGGCTGGGGAAAGAGTGGGGAATGTTGGAGTGAAGCTGGGGCAGAGGCTGGGGGAAGGGGCTGGGTAAGAAGCGTGGGCGAAGGTTGGGGGAAAGCTGGGGTAGAGGTTGGGGAAGGGCTGGGGCCGAGATTGGGGGAAGGGCTGGGGGCGGGATTGGGGGAAGGGCTGGGGGGAAAGTTGCTTCCACCCACTCCCCAGCTCCTCGACCACTTCTTCTAGAAAAGACTCAAGAGTTTCTAAAAAATTTGCTGAGGAAGTTGCTGAGATGTATAAAGTACTTCCCCAGTTCTCCCTCCCCCCATCACCCTTCCCCCTTTCTCTCCTTCCCGCTTCCCCTTTCTCCCATATTCCCCCTCCCCCCAGCTGCTCCTCAACCTCTCCCCGCCAGGGATGAACCACTTTGACGCATTTGAAGACGTCAAGTATGTGCGCTGCACCCACCCAGTTTCCCTGCTCTTTCTCCTCTGTTCTCCATCCATCCCCCCTTTCCCCCTACCCCTCTCCTCCGCCCATTCCCCCAGCTGCTCCTCAACCTCTCCCCTCCAGAAATGAGCCTCTTTGACGCATTTGAAGATGTTGAGTATGTGCGCTCCACCCACCCAGTTTCCCTGCAAGGGTTAATTACCCAGCCAGTTTCCCAGGAAGGGTTAGTTACCCTGCCGGTTTCCGGGCAGGGGTTGGCGCGAGGGGAGGGAGACAGTCAGGCAGCGGAACAAGTTGAACAGCTGCAAGCAGGGGAGGAAGGAGACAAGGCGTTGGGTGGAGGAGAGGGAGGACAGGGAGGTGGGGAAGGAAGGGGCGGAGAGGGGGAGATGAAGGCGTTTGTGTATGTGTGGGCGAATATAGAGGATACTGACCTATACGGGTCGTGGGACTACGAGGTGAGATGCTCTCTTCCTCTCCTTCCCCTCTCTCCCTCCTCCTCTCTCCCGCCACCCGCTTGTGTACGTGTGGGCGAACATAGAGGATCACGAGGATTCCGTGGGCGAATACTGACCTGTATGGGTCGTGGGATTACGGGGTGAGATGCTTTCTTCTATTACCTCCTCTCCCCTCCGACCCCCATCCCTCCTCCCCTCTCTCCTGCCTTTGTGTATGTGTGGGCGAATATAGAGGCTCCGGACCTATATGGGTCATGAGGCTATGTGGTATGAGCTCGCTCTTTGCCCCATACCGCTCTCCCCCCACCTCTCCCCCCCCCTCTTTGCCCGCTCTTTTCTCCCCCTCTCGCCCGCTCCCCCCCCTCTCTCGTTTTGCGCCCTCTCTCCCCTGCCTTGCCCCACCCACTTCCCCTTTGCATGTGTGTATGTGTGGGTCATTTGTTTATGTGTGGGCAAATGCACTGCACGTGGAATAACATTGGGATGTGCCAAAAAGCACACGTTGCAGAAATCATGGAACTCAGTGCATCGCTGGTATTTCAAACTTATAGATAATTCTTAACCAGGAAAATACCCTTTGATAATTATGTTCCGTGCAGGCATGGAGGCGAGAGCATATGGATCATTTTGTCATTAGGTGCCGTTCTGTTGCGAGGGGGTGGAGGGAGAGGCAGAGACGCAGGCTAGCAGGCAACTTCTAGCTTTTTTCTAACGTTGCTTACAGTGTACATTACACTCTCCTAATATTTCTTCGCACCCCTTCTCTGTTTACACCTCTTCTTTTGCCCCTGGTGTTTTTGCTTCTTTCTTGCACTGACGCTGCGCTCCTTAATGATGGAGCATGTTCATAGGCATGGCGCACCAAATGGTTGGACTCATATGTTGCTATGTGCCGAGAATTTGCACAAGAATGGAAGGAAGGGGGGTCGTGGAGCGGCATATAGCACAGAGAAACATTACAGGCCAAAGGCCCAAACCAATAGTATATGGTATTTCGTACAGCTATCACAAAGCCAGTGATTTATTGCATTGCAATGTGGCTCTAGTGTGACATAAATTAAACGTAGATGCCATGTTGCATCAACCAGTGATTGAGCCTTATGTGGTATGTAATTTTGTTTTACCGAAACATTCCCCACACACGTGACACCAACACCCACGCACACATCTTCCCCCCCCACCCCCCCAAACCAAAAGCCCTTTTTTTCACAGATTCCCCTGCTCGACAGCTTAGGGCGCATTCTTTCCGTCAAATTTGACAAAGTTCATGTTTTGGGAGCGATTTTATATTTTTGAACTTAAGTCGAATGGAATTCGACATTCCTTGTAGCGAAGTTCGAACATTGCGGAAATGACACTGCAAAGATGATATCACGCACGCAAGGTCGAACACCAAAATTCGAACCTTTTGTAACCCGGTACATGCTCGCCAGGTCAACACACTGCTATTATTTGTTTCGCAATGTACTCGTCAATTTCGCATGGTCTCGTGCGTGCTGAAAGCACACAAGCTCGCTTCACGTGCACAAGCACGTTCATATATTTGACTCGAGTCAAGTTCACTTTTCACGTTCGAACTTTCAAAAGTCCAAGAATTAGCGCTGTTCGTCAGATGTCTTAGGCGAGATTTGCGATATAGGTAACCACTTAAAGTTCGAACTTCTTTTCGAACTTAGCAATGGAACGAACGCGCCCTTATTGCCTCTGGCAACGAGATTTTCGCCACTCGGACTGGCCCCGAAGGGATTTGCTGCTTCGCGAACATGTGGGGTGGGTGTACAGTGTACATATCGTTGACGCCAGCTGTCTCCCACCTGCAAATCCTGCCCTGAAGCTGTCGCCACCTTGTTTGACGTTGCCTTCTTGAAATATTTTGTTTTGCCCGAGTTTCCAAACAGCGTGGGAACAAGAGCATCCGCTAGCGGCTCCGAGTCTATCTCTGCTCTTATTCTTGAAACCTGACGCGGGGTTAGGAAGAAACTAGGGTCCTGAAATGGAAGCAGTGACTTCGTTACTGTCGAATGGACTCCAAAGCACCAGAAATAACTGCAACTAGTATCCTATTCATGCTGGCATCTACTCAACGAACCCCCGCGACCCACCTGCGATTCGAGCCCCCCAGTAAATACTGCCACAGACCCATTTTGGCAGAAACATCCAACTGACCCCTTTTGTACTGTACACTTGGCAGGATAGTGCCGCTTCGCTACACATCCAATTTTGCACCTTTGCGTGGGAGTTTGGAAGGGAGGGTAGGAACTGCTGCAGGGGCAACGAGAGACAAAAATGACACGCTTGAACTAGGGAGTTGGTGAGTGATCAGGGCCGAGATGTTCTGTGGGACAAAATCAACAGGGGGAAGCAAGGAAGCCTGGAGCAACCACCATCAGCACGGGGTTTCCCACCTGTGTGAGGTGCCCCCCCATCACCTGCCTATACCGTACAGTAGCAGATCGCGTCGCGAGAGACAGCACCTGTGACCTAAAATCCGCGGGGTTTGTTGTGAATGCGAAAACCCGACACGTGATTCCGTCCAGCTTGCAAGCCCAACCAAAGGTCCTTCCAACCAACCAACCAGACACAACAATCTTCCCTCCGCCCCTTCTGATGAGCCCTCTCACACAGACAAGAAGACAGACAGCCAAGACAGGCAAGGACAGCCTTGCCCTCCTGAAGCCCTTCTCTGGGCCACAACCACAACAGTTTTCGAGAAGTTTTAGATTCATTCAAACTAGGCCTAGCCTTTCCCCCTCAAGCTTTTCGACCGCAAGCTTGCCTCTCCACCCGTACACAAATAATCGGAGCGACCACTATCGGAGTTACCACCAGAGGGACAGCATTGATCCATTTTTCTTGCTGAGTTGTATCTTCCTCCATCACTAGTTCATCAATCCCCACTTACAACTTCCATTTAGTATTGATAGACTTCGTGTGCCCTTTCCCTCTTTCCCCACACTTACAAGACCTTTCGTTCCAAAAACAGAGAAGCCAAACTCGAAAGTAAAAATGACGTTTTACTCAAGTATGATCGGACCTGTTCTAGTGCTCCTGCTCTTTCAAGTGTCCTTCACTGCCGGAGACGGCGGCGACGCCGAAACTGCGCCTTTCCCCATCCAGCCTAGCGCGTTCGAGATTTTCATGCAATCGCAGGGAGCGTTGCCTAATCCTCCCCAGAATGACATTCCGCCGGAGTCGCTCCCGTCGGAGGCGACTGCAGGCGACGGCGACGGTCGCCAGCTGAGGCAGCAGCGAAGGCTCGCAGGCTCCTCCAAAGGCTGGCGAACCCTGAGCGGAGAAACGTCGCGGAAACTTTTGGACTTCGGCCGCGAAATGCGGAGTCGCCAGAGGCGCATGACGCTCGGCCTGCCGGCCAGCGCGGCTCCGCAGGCGCTCCAAGCGCCGGGCCTTAACTCCGCGCCGACCGCGGGCGACATCAACATGACGTGGTACCGCTGGCAGAGCGTCGCACAGCCTAGCGAAGTGGATTGGCGACAGACGATCGTGATGACGCCGGTGCTGAATCAGCAGCTGTGCGAAAGTTGCTGGGCGTTAACGTCGACGGATATCGTTAGCATCGTCTGGGCGTTGGTGAATAATCAGACGGCGCAGCCGCTGTCGCCGCAGCACGTGTGCGACTGCGCGGCGGGGCAGTGCTGCGATGGCGGGTGGCCCGAGTGGGGGTTCCAGTTCATTCTCGCTAATGGCGGAATCGCTACTAATGAAGATTACCCGTATGTTGCGCACGGGAACTCTACGTGCCGCAATATCGCCAGTGGAATGCTGAAGGCCAAGGTGCTTTACTCCCTCCCGACAACCCCGCCTCTACCTTCCCCTTGCCCACCCTCCCGCCCCCCTCCATCCCACCTCCCCACTCCCCACTCTCCAACCGCCCCTGGGACCACTGGTAAATTGGCAATTTCCTACCCTTCCGTCCCCCCGTCCCACCCCACCCTCTTTCCACATTTCGTTTTATCGTTGGAAAAAAAACGCTTCTCCTCGTTCTTTCCAGCAACCCGTTGCGCGACAAGCAACAGCATTCTGCCGTCGTTATGTCCGTTGCGTGTCGGCTCCTCGGAGCGCTCCGCGACCTCCCAACTCCTATCTCCTAACTCCCCTCTTCGTGCCTGGTTCGTGCAGATGACGGGATGGGAGAAAGTGCCGGTTCGAAGCAACAAGGCGCTGATGAAGGCCGTGGCGCAGCAGCCAGTGCTCGTGTACCTCTCTTCGGCCACCAACGACTTCATTGTAAGCACACTCCCGTTGAAAAGGTGGCGATACTTGTAATTTCGTTCGAGGTATATCTTCATTTTTCTTCCTTTCTTTCTCTGCGTAACTTCTTCCACGTTTTCTCCTCTGTTCACTCACATCCCATTATCCGTTTCCTACCTGATACTCCCTGCGCCCCCCCCCCCCCCCCCCCCCAGAGCTACTCTGGCGGCATTTTCGATGGCGATTGCAGTGGCGACATCGATCACGCGATGCTGCTTGTTGGTTACAACATAACGGACCCGGCCAGCCCGTATTGGATTCTGAAGAATACGTGGGGAGCAAACTGGGGTGAAAACGGCTACATGCGGTTGCGAATGTTACCAGACGGTAACGGCAAGTGTAACGTGATGAGCGAAAACGCGATTTACCCGGTTTTCTACGAGCGGAACAGCAGGGCTTGCGAGGTCATCACCCCCAACCCTTGCGGCGGGGGCGTGTGCGAAGTGCGAAGCGGCAGGGCGAGATGTAACTGCCCCCCGGGCTTCGTTGAGAGACTCGAGGAAAGCGCGCCCAAGTGCGTTACGGCTACACCGTGCGACGCTAATCCCAATCCCTGTGGTGTCGGGACATGCAGTAACGAGTTCGACGGCACCTACACCTGTTCCTGTCCTGCGGTAAGTTCTTACTCTGCAGCTATTCTTTCATTCACTTCCTCCTAGCCCTGGTCCTTTTCCTCCCGCTCTACGGATACTAGTCATTATCTTCGCTCTATGCTTGCTAATATTTCTCGTATCCCTCCCCTTCGCGACTCCCTTGCTCTTACTCAGGGCTCCGTGATTGGTTCCCGAACTGACCGTGCCATGACCTGCATCGTAGGCTCGTTTCAGTCGGGCCTGCAAACCTACACCGTAATGGCGGGCGACACGTGCCAAACAGTCGCCGACACTTTCGGCTTCACTATTGACTTCCTCGTTCAGAGAAATCCCTTCTTGGACTGCGATTTGCCGTTGATTCCGGATTACGTTCTCCTAGTCGCCGATACCGCGAATTTCACCTGGGGATGCTCTGCGATGGACATAGTCTCACCAAACGACACCTGCTCGTCAATCGAGTCGCGAAACGGCATTTCCCATCGTCAGCTCATCGCGATCAACCCAACTTTAAATTGCTCCGAGTCGCTCCCTCTCTCGCTAACAATCTGTACTGCCCCGGGCCGCATCTCCTCCAATTCCGCCATCATTCGCTCCTGCGGGAAGGTTCACGACGCGTCGCCGAGCGAAAGATGTGTTGACATTGCGAGGAATTACAACATTTCGCTCAACGATCTCCTGTGGCTGAATCCTGGGCTGAAATGTACTGATGACTCGCTCGGGGTGGCGGTCGCGGTGTGCGTATCCTCCTTATCAACAGAGCTCATTACTGTCAACTGTTCCCAGTGGTATACAGTATCTCAGGGCGATACCTGCCCCAAAATTGCAAACGCGGTGCAGCTACCAGTGACGACATTCCTCCGACTCAACCCAGGCCTCAGGGTAAGAAGCATCACTTGGTTTCCTCTCAAAATCAATGTATGTTACGGTTGACTCTAAGGTTTGCATCTATGCATTCTCTACCTAAATACTAATTCTGCACCACTTTCCCATTTCCCCTCTTGTTTCTCCCCTTCATATCCACCAGTGCTACGCACCCGCCTTCCAAATCGGCCAGCCTGTGTGCATCTCTGGAACCACCACCAACATCCAGAAAATCAAGCTCGCCCCCAACATCATCCCATACACAGTACAAGCCAACGACACCCTCGCTTCCATCTCGTCCGATTTCTCCTCCCGCTGCTCCAACGCTTCGTACCCAGCGTCCATCTGCGACTCAAACTCCCTCGCAGATTGCACCGACCAGTCAATTGTCGAGGGCCAGATGCTGCTGATTCCGTGCGAGAAGCTGGTTGGGAGCCAGATCTGTGCTACCTCGCTTCCCGTGTGTGGGTCCGACGGGGTGACCTATGCATCAATGTGCGATGCGGTCCAGGCGTTTGCGCTTCCCATCACGCGTTACGACGTGTGTAACCTGTGTAACGACGGGCTTTGTTACAAGAGAACGGGGCAGCATCCGCCGAAAAGCAGCTGCACTGCGCCGCCCGGAGTCTGCCCGTACCCGACCTGGAAACTTCCCCAGGATTATATGGATTACTGCCCCATGATGTTCAAAACACAGTGTGAATGCTTGAAGGTAAGTCGTTTTTTTTTTTTTTTTTTGTTTGTTTGGTCCATCTGTTGTTTTCTTCCCCCATTCAGCCGCCTCATTTCAATTTCCTGCCATTTATTCAGTAGCATTGCCCGTTCGCACTGTAGCTTAACTCGGATGCCCATTTTCCAACATTCTTTAAGATCTGCATGTAACTCATCTGTTCCTTTTTTTTTTTTTTTTTTTGCTGTGTTTTTTTCTTCCCCTCTACAGTACACGTGCACGTACCTATGCACGCTATCCGCGTCAACATACACCTACAGCCTCGCCCTGGGCAACCTGTACCGCAACTCCACCTACTTCTACCCCGCGTGCTACAGCGCCTGCTACGACAACAACCTGCGTGCCGGCTGCAAAGAAGACTTGCAAGTGTGATGACAGCCTGTTGCTCCTGCAGCTGTGCTCGGGGCAACCTGTATCGCAACTCCACCTACTTCTACCCCGCATGCTACAGCGCCTGCTACGACAACAACCTGCGTGCTGGTTGCTCTGAAGACTCACAAGAGAGATGACAGCCTGTCACTCGGGCGATGGAGTCTCGTGTTCCCACATCGCTGTTCCTCCTGCAGCTGTAACCTGGCCAACTTGTGGCAAAACTCTTCCCGCTTCCACTGGCTGGCTGTTACAAGGCCTGGTACAGGGACAACCTGCGAGTCGACTCGAGGAACGTCTGAGGAGCTGCGAGGCATGCCGCAATGCGTGCTGTAAGGCGAGCTATGACAACAACCTGCAGGCCGGCTTATCGAATGTGACACAATGGAAAGGACTGACAGCCTGTCATTTGAGTTGCCACGGCTGAGAGCTGGCAGGACAGGAGTGTACCATGGCAGGACGTTGTCCTGGCAGGAAAGGGGCTGTTGGAGTCTCAACGGATTTCACTCCTGTGTAAGCCTGTGTAAGGGGTGCTTTTGACTTTGAGGTGAAAGCAGGCAGCTAGCCAGTGACTTTGACTTGGATTTCAGCAGTAAAGTTTTGGAATGGTGCGCGGTGCCAGGATGGGTTGGTGGAAATGGAGTGGCGGAAAGGGGGTTGGAAACCAGAGTATGTGGAATCAGCATCAGCAGCACCCAGTCAGTATGTGGATGCACTATTTTGCATACACGTTGTGCCTCATGCACCTACAGCAGTATTACTAGAGACCATGCTTTTGTCTAGCATTGTATAGTCGTCCAGAACCTAACTTGCTCTATTATTTGTTAGTTTATTATTTGTTAGTTTGTTATTTGTAATTAGTGTTACATTCATTCCCTTGAATCTATTTACAGGGTCTAAGCACTAAAACAAGGCGATGGTTTCCTTCCATCCTAGGCTGCTTACGGTATTTGCCCTCAAAAGTCAGGGTCCCCTGAAGTTTGAGGAAGACAGTAACAAATAAGAAACACATTCCGTTGCGAACCACAATCACTGTCTTTCGTTCTTTTAGATATTCGCTTATAGCGGGTATGCCTAATCACATCACGGCGACCATCTTTTGCTGATCCAAACCTTATCCAAAATTTATGGTTATGGCTGCCGTCGCTGCAGTCGCTTGCGGCGCGCAAGTCGCCAGCGCTGCCGCTCGTGCAGCCTTACATCCTTCGCGAAAACCAGGTTTTCTCAACTCGTCGGAACAGGTTAGGGTAACCTTGTCTGCTTCCGCGCTTCGCGCAACCTTTCGCGACGCAACTCGTGCAGTCAGGCGACTGAACGTCGATACCAACGCATTGTCGCCGCGTCGTCGCAGGTGGCTGGATCCGTCGCAGCACGTCGTTTATTCAGCTTCGGCGACGCAACCGCGATCTTCTATAAATGAAGCATCCGATTCGGAACGCGAGCAAGGGTTGCAGGAAGAATGGTCGAATGGGGGAGGAGGAGCGAAGCAACGGAACGGCGGAAAGGACGAGCAGCCAGTGGTACCGAGCGTAGTACCTAACGCATTGGTACCCCGGCGATCAGCCTTAACCCTAATGCTCGCATGCGCCGCTTCGGTGGCGCTGCCTGAATGGACGACTGGGTCGCCTTCTGTCGCACAGGAATCAGGTACGACAACTGTGTCGCCTGTTGTCGCACAGCAGCCAGGTACACGGATAACTGACTTTCTTCGAAAAACCATTTCGCATTCGCGAACTGACTCAGCTAAGGAACAGCGAATGCAAAGATAATGCATTCATTCCCGTCGTTTCTTTCAACCTGCAAAGCACCCCCAGCAGCAGCAGCAGCAGCAGCAGCAGCAGCAGCAGCAGCAGCAGCAGCAGCAGCAGCAGCAGCAGCAGCAGCAGCAGCAGCAGCAGCAGCAGCAGCAGCAGCGGCGGCGGCAGCAGCAGCAGCATCACCACCACCTCCTCCACCACCCATCAACCCTCTCGCGACCGAAGGTCATCCTCACGCGCCTTTCTCCTCTGCTCCCATGTTGTTTCCCCACTCACCTCAATGACCCCAGCCTCTCTTCCTGCCTTCCCCACTCGCCTTTCCCCTCCTCTCCCCTCTATCGTTGCCCCTGCCTGCAGACCAAACCCAACAGCTCCCTCATCCCTCGCGTCTGGTTGCCCGTCCCACTCACCCTCAATCACCCCAAACTCTCTCCATGCCTTCCTCACCCACCCTTCCCCTCGTCACCCGTATTGTTTCCCCTGCCTGCAGACCATCCCCAACCTTTTCCTCATACCTCGCGGTTGGTTATCCGTCCCTGTCTCCCTTACAGACATCAGCTTTACTTCCTGCCTTTCCCACTCGCCCTTCCCCCTGTCCCCCCGCTGCTGTTTCCCCTCCCAGCAGACCAAACCAGCACAAGCAGCAGCACCAGCAGCACCACCAGCACCAGCAGCAGCAACGGCAGCGGCAACAGCGGGAGCAGCACCACCACCACCACCACCACCACCACCAGCGGGAGAGGATGGCATTTTTCGGCGGTATTACAAGCCGGACGGCACGGAGCGAGCCACCAACCCCTACTCCTTCCTCATCCCCCGCGGCTGGTTACCCGTCCCTGTCTCCCTTAATGACTCCAAGCTATACGGTCTGGACTCGCGCTTTGTCTCACCCACGCCTGCTGCTGTGCTGGGGGGCGGAGGAGGGGGGGCAGCAGGGGCAGCGGGAGGGTATGCGAGTGTCGTCGATGTATTTGTGCTGCCCGTGGGTGAGTGGGGTTTGAAGTGGTTGAGTGCGGTTCAATCAGTGAGGGGAGTTTGGAGGCCAGTGGGAGTGTATGCGATTGTGGTAGCTGTGTTTGTGCTGCCAGTGGGGGGTGGGTTTAAGCAGTTGAGTGTCAGCGGTTGAGTGGGATTCAAGAAGGTGAGTGGGACTTAAGTGGGTGGTGGGGTTACTAGTGAGTGAGTGGAGTCATTTGTGGGGTTGAAGTGGGTGAGTGGGGTTGCGAGCGGTTGAGTGGGGTTGAAGTGCGTGAGGAGGGACCACGCAGTTGAGTGTCCTGTCGTTCACGTTGGTGAATGGGATGGATGACTGGGGTTCAAGTGGTCGAGTGACGACGTCATTCATAACTCAAGTAGATGACTGGTGTCGGATTTTTATCAGTCTGTTCTCAAGTGGTAACTGTAACAGCCGTTGGCTTTATCGTCTACACCTCTTTTGGTTCCTCATCGGTCCTGCCGGGTTTCTTAAAAATGAGGGGAACGGGGTGACGGGATCTAAAAGGTCTTGTTTGAGAAGAGAAGGGCAGTGAGTGTGACTGTGTGACTGTGTGAGTGCAAATGTGCCTGCCTCTGTGCGAATCATTCCGATCCACGAGGTGACTTTTGAGTCGACTCAAAAGTCACCCTGCTGTGTGCGAATCATTCCCATCCACCAACTGTGCACTCCCCTCTCTTACCCGCCCAATTCTCCCGCTTTCCGTCACCCCGCCCCATTTTCCCGCTTTCCATCACCCCGCCCCATTCTCTTGCTTTCCATCACCCCGCCCCATTCTCCCTCTTTCCATCACCTCGCCCCATTGTCCCTATTTCCATCACCCCGCCCCATTCTCCCGCTTTCCATATGGTTCTTTCAGGCAATGCTGACAAGGCAAGCATTGAGGAAGTTGGTGACTTGGAGGATGTGATTGGGATTTTTGGCCCGCCAGATCAGCCAACCCGCGTGGTAGATGCATCCATTCAGGAACGGCCAGCTGGCACGACCTACTATCACTACGAGCTGGCATCACCACCAGCTCTTTTGTCTGCTTATGTATCCGACAGCCAGATTTACATTTTTCAGGTAAGAGTGTTGGCCAAGATATGCGCTAACTAAAATTCATGTGAAATGATAATTTTTGAAAGTGTAATGAAATGTAACACTTTCTAAAATTTTGTATTGTGAAAAGGGGTACGTGGCCAACACAGCAAAGGTAGCGCCGAAGCGCTACTCACCCTCTTTTGCCTACAAAAGAGGGACGTGGGGACATTCGTCCCCACCCACGTTTTCATTTTCAAAATTGTAGTTCTAATTTCGTTCTCGTCCACACTGGCGAAGACTCTATCGCTTCCGCGCTTCACTGCCCCCGTTAACGCTTCTTAACGACATCCTTAAGCGCAACCTCGCAGCGATGGCTCCAGTCAACCCGGCACTTAATCGCGACAACTCGAATATTTCTAGCCCCGGTAACGCGGCGGAAACCTCGACTCCGGCCGGGACAACGGATCGTCGCGGCGGAAAACGTCCCGCCGAAGAAATTTCAAGCGAGGGACCCTCGGCGGTCGACCTCCTGCTCGGAGGCACCCTTCGGACCCCCCCTGAGGAACGCGCGACTGTTGTACAGTCGCGCGTGGCTGCTGCTGAAGAGCGCGTGCCTGGCAGGCACGCGCGTGCTGCGCAGAAGACGACGACCGCCGCTGACGCGGCGGCCGTCTTGACCGGCGCTGACGCGGGTCCATCCGGGCCCACGACCCAGAAACGCCAGCGCGCGGCACCCTCCGCTGACGTCACCCCACCGTCAACGCAACCCCCCCCTTTGACTGCGCAGCAGCTGCAGGCGCTGCTCTCGTTATTGCAGCAGCACGCTCCATCGACTGCAGCTACATCAACGGAAGAAATTTCCGCTTCCGCTAAAATCGAAAAGCAGAAGGAAAACGTCGCAGCCGCAGCCCCCCGCTCCACCCAAAATCGCTCGCACCAACAACGCTGCTCCTCCTGCCCGCCCCGGCTCCGCACCAACCCAAGCCCGTATCCCCGACGACTCGGAAAATGAAGACGGTGAGGCCCCCGACAACCTTGCTCGTCGTCGCATTCTCGCACCCGCACCTCCCCTTTCCCCCTTAACCCTACAACCCCGCAGCTACTACCTTCATGCGCAAGGGAGTGCGTGACCAGGCGGAGGTGTTCTCCGCAATTCAAGCTCACCTGAGGCACGTCGAGTTCAAGCTCCAAAACGGCGACGTCGAGGGCGCGCTCTCCAACGTGGAGCAAATCGAAACGTTGATCAACAAACGCTTCGAGGTGCTCTTGGTGGCGGATGAGGCCGGTTTCGAAGCGGCGGATCGGTTCCAGCTGTACCAAGCCAAGAGCGTGCTCACGTCCCGCTCTTACAAGCTCGCGGTAGCCGACGTGGCGGCCCTCAAGCGTGCACGTACCGGCTTCGCCCGCGGAGGCCGCCTTCCCCCTCGAGACGGTGAACCGGAAAGCAAGGGCATGCCACCCGCGGGCTGCCACGAGCCCCGCTTCAAGGGGGTGTGTTTCCGTTGCGGCCAGCCCGGCCATATGGCAAACAATTGCCCTATGGGAGGGCGTGGCGCACAAGGTCCCACACCCGTGGTGTGAGAGGACCCATGGGGCGGCGCCCCTTGCCACTATGCCGGGGGGCGTAGGTGGATGCACCGGTGGTGCGTAGGCTGGTTAGGAGCCTTGGAACGTAGTATAGGCCATGGGGGCCAGGGCAAGATGGCAGCCGTAGGGGCTGGTTATTGTGTAGGCCTAGGCTTGTATGCCTTTGTGTGGATTAATAAAACAATGGAGAGAGAGAAAGGGAGACAACATGAGGAGAGAAGACAAATGGCACAACCAATCAAAAATCCAGCCCCCTCTTGAGGAAGGCAGGCATGGAGGAAGGATTGGCCAGGGGTGAATGACAAAGCAAGGACCAAGAGAAAAACAAAGAAGAGGGGGAGGGGGAGGGGGAGGGGGAGGGGGAGGGGGAGGGG